TAGTGCCTTTACAAAAACATGTCATTAAAATAGCTGTCCGATGTCATATAAAAATCCCTAGCATATCTACAGGGTGGCCCATCCATGTGTGGACGGAATATTACTCATAAACAAATACATTTTGGCAAAATCTATTAATGGGATGTTATACATGACATTTGAGAGCACATTTCTAAAATATTGGCCATTATACAGGGTGTTCCAAATTCGACCTACATATCAAAGTTGTGATTTTTCAAATGGAATGCCTCAAATTTTATTGCGTATTTGAATAAACCAATTTAAAAGAAGAAAATTGATATAACGTACTTTACATATCCCTCAGTCCGCAATTTTGAAATTTAGGTGTACTGAATTTTGTATAAAAAAAAAAACGTACACACCTCAGCTTTTATCTTATTTGTTACTTTTTCGAATTCTAATTTCTGCTCATACAAGGTGGTCAAAAACGCAAATTGTAGTTTTTCTCAAAAATTTCAAATGCATCACCTTGTATATTTGTGCAAGTTTGGATTCAATTTTTTATAAGCCTTTTGATACTAGACACTTAAGGGTGTTTACGGCTATTTTTTCGGTTATTAGCACGTCTTTTATGGAACGGTTTAATTCCCTAAAATATCGGAAACAAATAAATTGTTGATTGATTAGTTACAAACAGTCAAAATTAGCTTGCTGAGCATTATAGTAAAAACGTGTTTGAAAATGATTTTTTCTAAAGAACAAAAGGTGAATATAGTTTTCGTTTTGGGCGAAGCCCAAAGAAATAGTTTCCGAGCATCTCGCATTTATAAACAACATTTATATGCGACATCCACGGCCAGAAACATTTTCCACAGTACGAGAACGTTTTGAATCAAGTGGAGCAGTGGAATATAGTAAAAAATGTATAAATAATCCCCAAGTGAGAAAAATGAAGCGAATCAGTTGGAGGTTCTATTAAAGTTACAGGAAAATCCCCATTTAAGTGTACGGTAAATTGGAGCAGAAACTGATGTATGAAGAACTTTTGTCCAAAGGATTATTAACAAGCATAGGTACCATCCATATCATCTATGCTTGCATCAAGGCCTTCGTCCTTAGGATTTCGCAGCTCGAATGGAGTTTAATAGAATAATGCTGAATAAAGTGAGTGAAGACAATACTTTCCTGGATAAGGTTCTTTTTAGCGATGAGGCAACTTTTAACAGCATAGGTGTTGTCAACAGGCATAACATGCACTATCATGCGACGGAAAACCCTTACTGGGTTAGGCAAATAGATTTCTAAACTAAATGGAGCTTAAATGTTTGGGGAGGAGTTATTGGCAGACAAGTTATCGGACCTTTCTTTTTCGACAACAGATTAACAGGTACAAAATATTTGAATTATATGATCGAGCATTTGCCTTCGCTTTTGGGGGATGTCAACCTGCAAACTCGGATGCATATGTACTTATTCCAACATAGAGGCGCACCTGCGCATTATCATAATCGTGTGCATAACTATTTGGACACCTGGAGTAATCCTTGGATCTGTCGTGATGGGCCTATATCTTGGCCTCCTAGATTATCAGATATGATACCGATGGACTTCTTTCTATGGGCTACGTTAAGCAAGAGGTTTATACATAGATATCCACCATCTACCCCCGAAAATATGGAGGGAAGGATTAAGGATATTTTTCTGGACATAACACATGCTGAGGGATGTGCAACGGTCATTTATACAAAGGCTGTGTATTCAACATGGTGGAGATATTTTCGAACAGTTTTTGTAGACTAGGTCTTAAGTAGTGATAGTTGCTAGTTGATGTTGTTATAGTTGTTTTTCTCTATTACGCTTGAAGCTGATTTATACTGTTCTGATGGTCGAAGTACGTCAAACCTGTACTCTTAGTGGCAATATGGAACTAGCCCACTGTTTGTCTTTTGTTTCCATGGATGAAGTGATTTTTTTCTTTAATTTTGGTGTTGTTCTATTAAAAGCTTAATAACTCAAAATCTAGTGATTTTATCTAAATCAAACCTTATACCAAAAACAAGCTTATAAAAAGTTGAATCCAAACTTGCACCAATATGCAGGGTGATGCATTTGAAATTTTTGAGAAAAATTACAATTCGCGTTTTGAACACCCTGTATGGGCAAAAATGAAAATTCGAAAAAGTAACAAATAAGATAAAAGCTGAGGTGTATAAGTTTTTTTTATACAAAATTCAGCATTCCAAATTTCAAAGTGGCGGATTGAGGGGTTGCCGAAGTAGACGGTTTTTCTGCACAAAGCACCTTACATCTCAGTAGCTAATTACCAAAACCCCATAGTATGTTATATATCAATCTTCTTCTTTTGGATTGGTTTATCCAAATATGCAATAAAATTGTTATGTAGGTCAAATTTGGGACACCCTGTATAATTGCCAATATTTTAGAAATGTGCCTTCAAATGTCATGTATAACATGCCATAAATAGATTCTCCCAAAATGTATTTGTTTATGAGTAATATTGCGTCCACATATGGATGGGCCACCCTGTATAAATTAAGACCGAACGTAAGAACTACCTAGCAGGAACTTACAAAAACAATATAATACAATAAAACAATTCTTATAACCATTACTCTTTTTAACCACAAATCTTACTACTACCTACCGACATTTCCATACGTTACAGCGATAATGGTATTGGTAGTCGGATTGACCAATCAATCTCCACCACTATACCATAACTATCTAAAACTGTAATAACCCATCAATGTTCACGTGAACATCACTAAACCACCGATAGTGGGGTATGAATTTTTAATGTGAGTGAACTTATCTCTTTTATATGTTTAATAAAAAAGGAAACCGTTTGAAAGACGTTATAGATCAGAAATACTCGTATGGAGATTACCTTGATCAGTTTTTTTTCTGTTTATCCATGAGCTAACGGTCATTCGTCGTCGCTTCCACTTTCATCTGAAAGTAATAAGCTGTCGCTAACGCTTCGCCGAGATCGGCTATAACTGGCTCCATCATGATGTCGAGGTTGTGGTCAAGCTGCCACATTTTTGCTTCTTCCTTCACAACATGACGGACAGCATTTTGCCACGCCTCATGCGTTACTAGCTCTATGGAATTCTTTAGCAAAGCCTTTACGTCTGGTAATTTAAAAGTTGTGTTATGACGCGCAATATAACCCTTCACTAGAGCTCAGAAGCTCTATTGGGCTCAGTTCACAACGGTAGTGCGGCAAAGGCGGCACAATGACGGACCATCTTATCAATTACGTAACTTATGTTCGCAGGTTTGTGATGTTTAATTGTTTCGTACAGTTCCGCTTTCACACTTGAATCGTAAAACGGAATGCCCTTTTCGCGCAACCATTGCTGCATCTCACTTTTTCAAGACCCCATATTTGGTACATGTTCGGCTCGACGACTGTGTTAGGAAGCATTATCCATGACGCTCACAGAGTTGGTTTCAACTCGCGGAAGCACCCCTTGAAATCAGCTGGCATTCATTTCGTCATGGTTAGGTTAGGTTTCTTGTGAGTACATCAATAACGATCCTCCACTGCGACTCTTTGGTCTATTGTGGCTCACACCTATTTATATTTCCCCGAGTAGGGGGTCTTCCGCCATATACAGCCTGCTCATGTGGTGATGCAGTTTGCAATGACCAGTGTACAGTCCTACTAGAGCTTTAAGGCTATTCCTGTTCAGCCGTAGCAAAGAGTCTGTTACCTTCTTTGTCAAGATTGGTATAGTTGCCTTAGCATGGGTTAACCCTGCTAATCCCTCCCAGTATTGATGGACCCGGAAGGTCGTTCGCACCAAAATCGTATTTTTCCCGTGTTACTTGATCAAAAATGAAGCGATTTACAGGATTCATGGCATTCTAGATCGAAAAATAGAAACTGAAATAAAAATGACTTTATTTGTCAAATATTGACAAGTGAGGCGTTGTTGAGTTCAGAATTTCATTCTCGATCGAAATCAGTAACAATATATAGGGTGTCCCATTTAAAAATCGAAAGTTGGAGTCGTTTCCGGTCAAACCGGAAGTACGTTAAAGCCAGTGAATATGTCAAAAAATATAAATTTATCAATAGTACTCATCTCCCAAATTTTGTTTTTCTATCTTCAAAAGAAAAGTTATAGGGGTAAGCCGTCTTAGAGAATCACCCGGTATAGGGTGTATCTATATATGAGGCGTCAAGTTGTAAAACCCGTCTTATCCATTTTTCAGAATAAATTGACATAGTAAATAATATTAATGGTAGACCTTGAGTCTTCATAAATACAGCCACAAAATGCAACAAAAACAGCTCCTTCCTATTTAAAATTGAGTGTAAAAATTTATAGCTGCGGCAAAATCCGTCTTTCATTGTAATTACGGTTACACTTAAACGAGTATGATATTACTGCAGCCTTATCCATATAACGTGTGCGATAAAGGATTTCGTAATTTTGGGAACACTGTACTTACTGCATGACAACAGAGAATCGCAATCGCAGAAGAAGAATAAACTGATTTCAGAATTTTGATTTTTTTTGTCATACGTTCATACGGAGTTTTATTTTTGAATAATACCTATATAAGCTGTATTATTTTTATAATATCAATATGTTACCAGAGAAAACTATTTTTGTTATTCAAGCATTGTTTAATACTGTTAGTTTAAAATTATTAAAAAACACAAATATACAAGTTTGGAAGCAAAACCAGCAATATTCGCACCTTGCCGCAAAACTGCAACAAAACTCGCCTTATCCATTTTTTGTTCGTTTTTTCCTTGAAAAATTAAAAAAAAAATACGATTATTTCTGGACAAATAGATACAAAATTACAACTCCCCACAATGGACTTATATTTTTTTAAATACCGCTTGTAACTTTGGGTAAAACAGTTTTTGTCGATTATCTCGAGATCAGGTTTATGGGATAAGGCGGGTTGACGCCTCATATTATTCTTAAGAAAACAATAGTTTAAGGTGCTGAATGAAACAAGTCGCGAAAACTAGTAGAGGAAAATAAAAGGTATTTCAATTTATAGTGATAATTTATTTAAGAGACAAAAATTCTCTGCCCTATAATTAAGGATACATTATACGTTAAATTACATTGAAAATATAACAGGTAAGATTTTTAACAATATTATTCCTTATTTCAATTTATATATCTAATGTATTGTCATCAACCAGATATAATCTATAACTTTAAAAAGGTTTTTCTGTATTTTATACATAAACAAATCGTGACTGCGATACTCAAATGCCCATGCATGCCATTATATTTTATTTGTTACATATTGTATTTTCATGTTTGGTTTAATCTGAGGTTAAAAAAGCTGTCAATTTTAGCCAATAGCATTTGAAAACAGCTCTATTTGGTATGCATGGGTTTTAAGGTGCATACATTGTTCTTGTACGTACAGTATGTTACCAGTAATATTACACAAGTGGAACAACATATGAATATAAATGTCAACACCGTCTATGTACTGTTTACCTACCGGTCAAACTCAGCCAGACGTCCCCCGCTTTAGCAAAGCATACAACGCTTGCAGGGCAGCACGAAGCCAGTATTGATTTACTAATTTACTCCCCATGCTTCTATAGTAACATGCTGTCTACAGTACGTTGCCACAAATAGACTCGAGCATCATAGGCATGTGGTTACAGTGTTGCCATTTAGACTACCTATGACGCGACATATATGTAATACTAGTGGTAACATACTGTAAGGGATATATAAAACACAGCTGACCGATAATCATGATATCTGGTATAATTCACGTAAACGTAGAGCAAGTCAAGAGAGTGTATTGTTTCAGCTAAAACTTTATCAACAAGCCATGTCAATCTGAACACACATTCATTTCTTGATCAATATTGTATAGTGCATTTAACTTTTCCACACTTTTTTTGAACAATATTTACAAGTGACATTATTTTTTACGAAAAGCTGGAACTATTTATAAATTTCAAAAAACGATGTATCAGAAAGCCTTTATATACATACATATGTATATATACTGACTAGGTAAGCACATATCTCGAATATCAACAAAATTTACAAAAAACTAGCGTTTTACATTAAATATTTACAAGGATCTTTTTCACTTTTTAAGTTGAGGATCTCTTCAGACATTTTTGACAAAAATTTCCTATGTCAAAATTGTAGTGCGTGAATTGAGATTGAGGGTGATACATAGTAGATGACAGCCAAGCGATGTAGTTGGCGAATGGCTAAGCAAAAAAAAAACAAAATATATACAAACTGTATTGTTATCTTAGGCCCCATATATGTAACAATCAATGACAACGTTTCAACTTCCAGTCATTGCGAGGGTCTGCGACAATTTGCAGACCAAGAAATGTTACGTGTAGGGACGCCTTAAGAGCTTAGACATTTTTTAAATCGGAACAGACTTTTGGACGATTCGCAAATTTTGGGTCACTGCAGTTTAAGAGTAGAGTATTATGTGTGTTCACAGATATGATAAAATAACATTAATAAATAATTGTTAGCATCCGTAAATTTTGATATTAAATTTTGCTCTGGATATTTAAACTCAAGAATATGAGTCTTTAAACAGATTACTAAGAGATCATAAGAGTAAATAGTAAATAATTCTATTTTCTGATTCCATAATGAAAATCTACAGCAACAAACAGGTTATCACAGAAAAACAACTGAGTATCATGTGTAAGTTGAATATCCATAATTATTATTTAATGAGAAAAACCGGACAAATTATTTCATAATTTTCTGTCTCATTTAAATTATGATGAGCATTATTTTCCGTATCCTTTTCACCGAACCACATAATAGGTTACATAAGTATCTCAAATAATTCTATGGCACTCGCAATATCTCGCCTAGCTCTATAAGATTACAAACTATACAAATATCCAAAAGGCTAAATGATATGATCTTATCAAAATCACGGTTCAATTCGGGATCCACTGCAGAGTTACTCTTTCAGTTAAGGCCTTATTATTGTAAGGATGGTTCATTTGTCAGACTTGACACATGGGAGTGGCAGAAGAGTTGTCAAATATCGTGCCTCGCATAGTTGTTAACTTTCCTCAAGGCGCAGAACGTAGGAAGCTAAGCATTTCAAATTAATAATTGATAAGGATGCCTCAGATAGGAAAAGCTTGATATTTGACAACTCTCCTACCACTTCATAGTGTCAGCGCAAATAAGACATCTTTAAAAACGTATGCCTCAAGACACCATTGCATACGAACCCTGAGTAACTTGAGAAACTGTCACCAATGATGTCATTAGGCCGGTTTACGCACTTGACACAAAAAATGTGACATTGTTCCTGGTACGCGTTCCAATCAGTGCCTTTGGAGTACATAGGCCGATACAGTACGTCTAAATACAAAACCGCACAGTTTTGGAGTGGCGCGTTGGATTTCTAGGTGCTGGAAGACTCCGGCACAAAGCCCCAAGGTCCACCAGTGCTGCCAGGTTTAACGAGTTTACGATAGATTTTCCATTTTCAGACTTCCGCTTCGGTTCTACCGCAAAACGCCTAATTTCTACCGCCTCTTACCACACAAGCTTCGATTTAATACGTCCTCGGAGTAATCTTAGATAAAACGCTAACTAAATTCGCATCTGAAAGCAAGGATCGTTTTGGAACTGGGTATGTGGAAAGAATTGGGGAATGAAGCCTAAACAAATCCATTAAAATCAAATGTTTGGGAAGCACAAGAATAGTCTTGCAGGCTCTTATTACAATCAATAATAGTATTATCCCACATACATCTGCTACAAGGAAGTTAGGCTTAGTCATAGATAACGATTTGAGATTTACAAAGCATGTTGATTGGTCAAGCTTATGGACGGCTTAAAATCCTGTTTCCATTCCGTCATATTTTTTCCACTGACCTCAAGATTTTACTTTGTGATACTCAGTGCATGGTCCTTGCTTAACAAAAAATGATTCTGACCGGATACAGCGTGTTCAAAAATCTTGTCTCAGGTTTATCTTTGGAGTTAGAAAATTTGAACCTGTTTCCTACAAGTTATCTGAAGCAGGCTGGTTAAACATGCAGTCGAGGAGAAACCTGCACTCTGCAGTAATTTTTCATACGATTATTTTATATAGAACTCCGCCGTACTTATATAATAAAATTACATTCCGTAGTGACGTTCACAATGTCAATGTCCGGTTCAGAGGTCTCATTTCTCAACCATCACATCATACTGCAAAGTTCAGTAGATCATTTTCACACTCTGTTCATCGCTCGTACAACCACGTTCCCACAGACTTTAAATCCATGCCAGTGTCAGCTTTCAAAAGAAATTGTAAGAAATTTCTTTTGGAGTCTCTCCTGTGTTGTCCTTCTCATCTGGGTATGAGTCTTTAGTTAAAGTTTGATTAAAGAAACATATTGTGCTTCAATTTGTTTCTCTCTTTTTTTGTCATTTTGGAACGAATTGGTTAGAATTGTAGTATCCTTAGACGGCTATAAAAATGTGCTCTCTATTTTGTCACTGGACCAGTACTTTGGTCAGTCCTAGACTGTTTGCTGTTTAAGTGTAAATTGTTGTTTTCCCTATTCTGCATCATATGTAATTTTTTAGCTGCAAATAAACGCTATTATTATTATTATGATTATTATTATTATTAAATGTTTTCGCTGTTTACCAAGGACATGTTGATTACTGGAGCTTTTCGCACCACATCAACTGCGGCTATGGAGGTTCTTCTTAATCTACCTCCCTTGCACATATACCTGGAAAGCGAGGCAAGAAGGATAGCCTATAGGCTACATCATGTGGCGACATGTTGGTGGGCATACAAAACCACCACAGTCTGGGAACGCTTTCTGATATAATGCCATAAAAAAAACAAGGTATGCTAAGCCCTACTTAGCAATGAGTGGGAATGGAAGACAAAAAAGCTATTAGTGCATACATATATAGCTCCAAGACCGAAGTAGATGTGCCGAACCTGGAGATTAAGGCATCAGTCAGCCTAGGAACCTGAACATCCATTTTTCAGGTGTTCTCTCAAATCGTCAAGCCGCGCTTCAGGTACTTGACACCACCCACTTAACATCGAAATTAGTGTGAACTTGTAAAGAAGCTCTTGGTACATACCAGGGCATATAGGTCTGAAGGGTAATGAGACAGCCGACACTCTGGCAAAAAAGGGTAACAGACTCACTGCTGCTTTTAAACAGGAATAGCTTTAAAGCTTTAGTGGGACTATACACTGATAATTGCAAATTATACAGATATACTTGGGGGCAGTACTCCAAGTAGAAGACCTGAAGGATATTTCTCCAAACAAGTTGATCAACTTCGTTTTCAGCATTTCTGATCTGGCTCCACTGTTTCGTTGTCAAATTTAAAAATTGATATGCAAGAAGTCCAGACCACAGTCCACGCGACATTCAACGTAAAGCGGCCTATTGACGTACTACGCGGTATGCTGTCGTATTGGTTGTCAGTTTACCCACTATTTATCTGGGTTTTCCAGGCAAACACCTTTAATGAATTTTCAAGCCACCGTCTTGTAAGGATTATAACATGTAAGATAGCGATAACAAAATAAGCGAAATTTTTTGCTACCTAATTTTTTTCATCCATTGATGTATGGGTAGCAGGCTGATAGCATGCTTATGAAATATACATTTTTACATGTTTAAATAACCTGATTCGGGATGTATTGCAATATTTTTACTCTCCGAACGTACTATTAATATATCTCGTATTCGAGTTATTTAAACTTTTCCTACTAAAATACAACATTCATAATGTGACATCTATTTCCATTTATACATTTGTAATATATATATATAAAACAGTTAATAGGTAACTCATAGTTCAATATTTAACTTCTGGACACCCCAATATAAATCATCTACATTTTGCAACGAAATTTGAAAAAAATGATAGAAAACTTCTTTCGAGTAACTTTTGTGAGTAAAAAGTGGCGAGGGCACATTATACGAAAATAAGGAAACTGTTGGAACCAGATATGACTGTATGCATGTAACAAAAATTTACACTACGGTATGTTACCACTAATATTACTCTAGTGTAGCATCATAGTGATAATGTCAACACCTAGGTAATGTCCATAAAGTCTTATGGAAAACATTTCAGTTGCTCTTAATTTCACCTATCATGCTAATTACGCTTCAGTTGTATAGCGTAATGTCGCAGTAAATTCAAGCATCAAATGCATGGGGTTAGTATAAATATTTGAAATTTGCTCGCCAACGTGCTTTTGTAAAGTGGAAAACGTTCGATCAAGTCACGCGTCGAGTCGTGTCGCTAGGTGATTTCTAGGCAGCGTTGCCATTTATATTACTCATGATGCTTCAGTTGGGTACCATATTATTAGTAACATGGGACATACCAAGTGTATCAAATTCAACTCTTCGGTTGAATCGGGACAAAGTTGCGCATTTAAGTAACTAAGAAAATCGCACTAAGGAAGTTTCGTAATTCGTAATATTTCCGGAGATAGGCAAAAAATCAGAATTTTTCCAACATCGTTTTTATTTCTTCCCGACTTTGAGGTGAAATTCTAAAATAAATTGAAATTTAACATTGTCAGTGTTTCTCTTCTGCAAGGAGAAACATTTAGGATCTCAATATGACGTTTTTGTCCTCAATCATCAACAATTTTTTGTTGACGCCATATTAGATTACTGCACTGGTGAATAGAGTTTTTAATTATGATTTAAAAAATGTATAACGTCATAACATTAATATTGTAAATCTGTAATGTTTGAAAAAACAGAATATCCTAAGTAGACCTTGACATAGTCAGATTTATTTCATAATATCCGTCAAACAATTTATACAAGGAAATGGCATTCTTGATAAGAGGCAATTTAAATTACCATAAACATTGTTATGAACAACATTCCCATAAACACGAGCATGCCACACGTTTTCGTATATTCTCATCTGATAACGAAAGACCACAAACAACATTATTCAAAAAATCATTTAAATGCTTCGCAGCTAAATTATATAATGTGGTAGCAAACGAAATAAAGACACTTAAAATTGGAAAGAAATAGACGAACATTAAAAAAATGGGTTTGTACTATACAGCGAAAAATACTTTTTAGACTTAATTATATGTTTGTTAGTTAGTAAGATATAATCCACATACACAGACAATGTCCACTGTGGATTTTTCATTTTTATTTGCCCATTTTTAAACACTTTTGTATTTTGGCGAATAAATATTATTATTATTATTATTATTATTATTATCCTACAGCCAAGCAATATCCTTCCGTTTTATGGAGCAAGCCGGATAAGCAGTCCCTATTTTGAGTTGAATGATGTGATATGGTATGTATTGATACTATATAATATAACTTTAAATGTCTAGAAAAGTAATCTGCCTATAATAATTGGTCAACACTTCGAATAACAAGTAAGGTAAGGCTGACATTTATATTGTTGGAAGCTAGTAGTGAAATCCTTATAAGAAATCGATAGAAACTTTTTATAAGTAAAAGCCTCGACGATGTTTCAGGTTGCTAAACACATTTCATATTTGACGGGCGTTCATTCAAAACCGGACATACCCAATTTTAGCATAAAATTCGTTTAGTACAGTTATTGAATATTTTCCATGGTGTCTATCGATTGCTCACCTTAAACTTGTTCTAAATCAGGCATATACTATAGTAATTTGAACCTAAACTTCCCCAGTTCACTCAAAACCAGACATATCCACTATCGAACATGAATTTTAGAAAATCAACCAAAACCTGACATATCCAATTATATTTAACATCTAAAGATATGCATAGTAGGACAAAAGCAGACATATCCATAGCACATAACTCCATAGGGTTAAATTTATCGATTTAGAACATCGAACTTCAAACCCATCCTTATGCCTGTTTGTCATGCTGTGTGGTTTTCCCGCGCTTTATGATGGCTCGCTCGTCTGACGTCTCATTTGGCTCGATATCAATCAACAGGCTTTGTTTTTATGACGCACCCGCCGTAGTGACAATTTGCTTATAGTACGTTAGCTGTGTTTATTAAATTGTTTTGTGAATCTTATTGAGTACTTAGTGGTTGCATTGTTATTCCATTATTGGTAATGGATACTACAGTAGGGGACATAAATTTGGGTGTCAGAAAGAAAAAGCCAAAGCCATCTGGAGATACATTGAAGAAGCAAAGTTAAGATAGTTTTAAACTAATGCTTTTTCATATATTCCTTTTTGCAAGTCGTATTCTATTACCGGTATGTATTATGTTGGGTGTGGTTTAAAACTAGTGCTGTAGGCGGTTTTTCATTGATTTGGAAACGGATAATAAAAATTTTTTTATAGATCCAACATGAATAGCAAGTTTATTTTTTATTAAATCCAGTTTGGCTGCATCGAAATATGAATGGGTGTTTTTTATTTTGTTCCAGATATCTCGATGCAGATCCAAATGTTCGTCATTTCAACGCCCATGTAATCACAATAGCAACGCATATAGACGCAATTTAGTACAAAAGGGCGATATTTAAAAGCTAAGAGAAAAGTTTTATCTTATATCAGTGACCGATCCCAAAAGAAGCAGGCCCACGAGTGATATTCCAAGCCAAAGGAGGAAAACAAAAGCGGTCCAAGCGACTTATTTTTTCGAGCGAAGAAAAAAATCAATTATTCCATCCGAATGATCGAAGAGGTGGGGACAGACACACTGCTCGATCCGGGCCAGTCAATGCTAAAATACGAATCTTTCTAGAAAACTTGCCAGCCACCGAAAGTCATTACAACAGAAAAAAAGTCGTGCATTGTATTATCTCTCAAGTGATTTAAATATAGCACGTTTAAGTAAATTATACAACTCAAAAAATACTGGTTTTCAGGCATCTTTAAGTACGTTTAAGAGAGTCTTTTATAAAGAATTTAATATTGGATTTATTTTCATCCCCAGCATGTGATGTTTGCCGAACATGCCTTAATTTAATAAAACGCTATTAAACAAAAAGATGGGACAGAAAAAGTTTTGCTAATGATGCAGCTCAGAATACATAAACTTCGAGCAAATGCTTTTAACCAGCATTTAAAAGAGACTCCTCCAAAAAGCCATTCGCTTTGCTTTGACTTGCAACAGGTACACCCGCTGCCAAAGACGCCAATTCAATATGCCTTCTATTTGCGCCTGATTAGTTTTTATACATTTTGTTGCGTCGACGTTAATTCTAAAAATCCAATTTTCTACACCGAAAACCAAGCAGGTCGCGGTTCAATGGATTGGCTCGGGTTTATTGGCGTACCTAAGATTTATTGATTTGGAAGATATAGAGACTATCAGGTTATTCTGTGATGGCTGTAGTGGGCAAAACAAGAATGACCATATCATACATGTTTTGAAACTCTGGCTTAAGATGAGGCTCCTCCTTCCGTGAAACCGTTGGTATTGCATTTCCTTGTACGAGGCCACTCTTATCTGCCAGCCGTTCCTGTTTTCGGCCGCGTGGAGAAGATTTTAAAGAAATATACAATCATTCCTAATCCGGAAGAATATCAAAGGTATTATGGAAGATTTGGCCCCGTGCGTGTCCTGGGAAAAGACTGACAACTATATAATGTTAAAGAGTTACGTGAAACCTATACGATGATTAGTGGCATCAAAGACTTCAAGAAGATTTTCTTGAAAAAATGTGTTTCTTCTAATGGGATCTCAGTACAAGTGAAGGGAAGTGCATTTTTTAATTACGACGAACAAAAACAGTATGCTTCAATAATAAAAAGAGGTCGAAGTGATCAAAAAATAGATTTTAAGGTTATGCCACTTGGAAATCCTATTTCTGCAAAAAAAAAGAAGAACGTGATTTCTCTTTTGGAGAAGCAGTTCAATGGCGATGATTTTCATTGGCCAGAAGTTCCAGACCTTAATTTCTACAAAGAAACTTTGCTTGATAATGTGCAGCCAAGTCAAGAAGATGACGAAACAAACAGTTGAAGAAATTAACTACTGCGACTGTATGGAAGACGATCATAACATTCATACATAAATCAGTCATGCAAACATGTGATTTTTTTATTTTCTGTTCTCAATAAAAATGTTTAGCCGTAACTTTGAAGTTTATGTTTTTCAAAAATATTTTTTTCATGCCTATTTTTTCTATAAATCATATTATATTAGGATTCTTACAATTTTCCCGACCACGATCAAACAAAATCGGACAAATCCAACATGCGTTCAGACAAAACCAGACATATCGATCAGTTTTTTCAAGCTTTTTGCCTTATTAAAAAAAGTGATGTGTAAGTTCAAAGTATCATTCCAACAGGTGTAACATGGCAGAAGTTGCTCAATACAAAATTAGAATCGGAATCAGTTTTTCGCGATTTTCTCGAAATTAGTTTATATGGATATGTCCGATTTTGAATGAACGCTCCTCATTTGTCATACCTAAATCGATGAAAACATTGCATTTGAATGAAATGGCTGGGGTGGCATGTCCAGCATGAGCTTGTTGTTAATAAATGAGAAAATAATACAATGTCTGTTGAACACGGTTTTGAAAAACTATGAAAATGATAGTTTCTTTGTAATAACTAAGACTTAGCAACGTAAATGTATGACATTTATGACATTATTTTTCGAATTCTGGATTAAAAACTGTATTCATCTGTGCCAGAACCCAATATGGCGTTCATAAAAAGAGCCTTGCTGTCAAGCTTTGCTCCCCTTCATTTTTACCACTAAGCATAAATGGAACTAAATGTCAAATTCTCGTCCTCCTATTGGCTCAAGAGTCAGATTTTCCTGGGAACGCAGAGTGAATAGAAGCGAGAGTAAATGAGGTTTGAATATAAGTAATGATCTTAGCTGGTCATTTCTGAAGAAATGAATGAATGGGGCTTCGAAATTTATATACTGGAGTGACCAAAGTTCGATAACTATTAATAACAATATGAACATATATATATATATATATATATATATATATATATATATATATATATTCATATAAGAATAAAGTTTCAGCGGAAATCCTAGCTCAACTACACAAAACATCAACAGAACATAGTTGCTTTATAGTACTTATAAACACTGATTTTGTTTCATGCAAATAACACTTTTTTGGCCGAGTTGTAAAAGGTTGAGGCGAATATTTAGCATAGAAGTGCAGCATATTTAATATAATATATCCACAACCATTTTACAACTAAGTGGGAGAATCAGTATAGATACCTGCATTTTTCCAGTACATTCAGTCGTTTCGTATAGATTTATTTATGTATATTTGACTTTATATAACTCACAAAGTAAGATGAAACATTAACTTTCAGACAACTACCAACAGCTAAAAACTCTGAATACAGGGTGTTCCAGGCCAAGTCATATCAGAAAAATATAAAAAAATCTAAGCCGTGTACTTTTCAAATTATAGGCTTGAAAAAATCGACACCATGTGATAATATTTTTGTTCCCATTACTACAAATTTCAGTTTTTTCTTAGACGGACAGTGTCAGTGTCAAATTTTATGGACTGAAGAGTCCATTTAAAAGAGATGGTTATATGAATCTACACAACTTACACGAGTAGCATGTAGAACATCCACATTTGATGAGAAGATAAATCGCAGTATCGTTTTAAAGTAAACACGTGGACTGGGATTCTTGAATGGCGACATTTATTTGGACTTTTCACACTGTTCTTGATGCGGATTACCCGAGTAGATGGATAGGGCGGTATGGTACAATTTCGTGGACAGCCCGTTAACGTGACTTAAATCCACTCGATTTTTCTACTGGTGAGCGGTAAAAGAAAAAGTTTGATAAAAGCCAATCCAATCAAAAATTTAGCTGAGCTACGGGGCAGAATAACGGAGTCAGCTGAATTTGTTAATAACCGAAGATTCGACTGTATGATAACTCAATCATTTTTAAGATGTCAAGCTGGCATTGCTGCTGAAGGAAGGCAGTTTGAACATTTATTGTGGATTTAAAAAATACGTTTACATTCACGAATTAATAAAAGTGGCGTTAGTATTCGTCTAGCTGTCACTACGTAGGATGACACTGTCCATCACTCCGTCTAAGAAAAGATTGAAATTTGTGGTAAAGGGAATTAAAAAATCATCATAGGGTGTAGTTTTATCCGATTTTTTTGAAAGCCGATAATTCGAAAAGTACATTATTTTCTACATTGTTCTGATAACTATTATGACTTGACATCGACTTCTGGCTTCTGTACTGATTTCCGAAATTCAAGGAACACCTCAAGTTAAACCTTGCCAAGTATGTATACTCAAAAACATTGTTACCATTGTTAGTGTTACAATAGTTTTTTTTTTCATATATAGAACGTTAAAATGAAATTAAAAAAAAATATTATAAAGCATATAATTTCAGGACTATATTAGAAAACTAAGGTTGTACCATAATTGATTTTGGGCATACGGGCGCCGCGGCAGGGTAAGGAAAGCACAATGTGGAAGAGCAGTTTTTGTATAGTCCCAAATTGTCTTTAACTTATTCCATTTTAAAGTTCTGTGAGCCTAAAGAACTCCCGGTACAAGAAAAAGTGATCCTTAAACATCAACAATCGCATCGTTAGAGCAATATAAAATATCTGGAATATCTCAATATTTTCAACTGCACCGATCACACTCGTCAATAAAATATTCTAAATACCTCGTTTCTGGAACAGTTTTTACAACGGAAGATTTCATAGTAAGGATTTAAAATTCAAGACTAAAATCTATCTAAACTAAATAAATACATTTTTATCACAAGCAGTTAATATTCGACTTTTGAGTGCAGTTGAATAGTTTTAAACTAAATACGAAGTATGTACAAAAAACGGCAAGTTTAAACCATAACACGTAATATTAATATCGGTATCATAGAACTGCAACCAAAATCAAATTCTAGTTAATCGCCCATACTTCATAAAATATAGACATCCTAATATCAAATATGCATGAAATCTCTACATTTTACGAGAAAATGACGGTGACAAAAAATATTCACTGGGACGTGAGGGTTGTTAGATAACTGGAAACAATGTCAAATTCACAACTGAATCTGAAACATACATTTTTCTTTTGTTACTTCTGTTTTCACTATGCACTACGCGAAAGAAACTTAATGAAAACAGAAGTTATTCTCAAAACCTGTATCTCAGTCCATACCTATTCGACTTTCAGGACCCTATGCGTATATTACACGATTTATTTGGGTAAAAAAAGATAAATGTATGCTTTAGGTTCAAATTTTCTATAACCTCTAATACCGTATTTGGCTAAAAGTCGGTGTATTTGACATAGTTTCCAGTTACCCAATTTAAGTAATATTAATCTTTATTTGAAATTGCATGATGTACAGACTTTTATCTGAATGCAGTTCTATGTCATGAATTAGGTTTTTGCAATCAAAAAAGTAATTTACGGTAACGGTACATCTACCCTTACATAGTTTACAGGGAAGTAACCTGTACGACCTTGTATGCTACCCTCGAACCAGTTTTCATCTACTTTATTCAAGAGGGTTATCATGTCATTTTCCTGAAAGTAAATAAAATGTAATTGTAATGTTAAACGTGTTTTTCCAAAAGCATGTGATTAACCACATACTCTATTCCGGAGTATCTCAATGCATGAAAATAGGCATTAGATAGTTTACAAAAAGGGACTGAAGATCCTGGCGCCATCTATGACACAGAAGCAAAACCAAACACACTAATTCTTTTCAAATTAGATTTCCAAATTCATTGTTGTACTCTGCTACTGTCTTATAGATGGCGCTAGGATCTTTCAGATCCTTTTTTTAGGCACTGGAGAATGTATAATGTAGAATATCTTAAAGTAGAATACGTTAATCAATGATGATAGTAACATAGATTACAAAGTGGTGTCAAGTAGACTGACTGATTGGTATACATCTATCAAAAATAATAAAAAATGCAGTTTTTCGTCTGTTTTTGCGCATTAGATTCCGACCTTGAGAATAAGCCTAAAAGGGTTTCCCAGACCTCACATTAATCGTTATGAAAAATAAAAACAAGCATTACTTTTTGTTTTTTGAAGATATTTTAAAATTAAATTAACTACCACTAAGTGCCTCAAAAGAGATAAAAGAGGTGAAAATATATGTAAATCAGCGAAAAAATCTCCAACTTTTACGTTCTGCCAGGTTTAGAGAAATAATTTCAGAGGATTATCTACATCATGGTGAGAAAATAACGCTAAACACGTTTAGTCGTTCCCTATGTGCCTCAAAAGGCGGACAATATGGGAGAAAACAGCGAAAAAATCTTGTCATTGTCACTTTCGAGTAGTTCCCCCAGGTTTTGACCGACCGCGTGTTTGGTCTATAAATACGAGGGTTGTTTCAAAAATAATGTTCCCAACACTGAAACATTGCCACCACTGATCCCAACAAGAAGCCCCTATTGGCGACGCTCAGTACCGGTCTGCCTGCGCAGTGGAGCCTTTCATCGCCGTCACCGCCAGGTATAAAATTCGTGCGGTCCACCCATAGAAATTCATCACCAGTTGAGTCAAGAGAGTTCTTTGGCGGACGCATGGATATCTACGATAAACAACGAAGCGGGACGCCGTCGATCCCCGAGGAAGTTATGGCGAAGATTGTGCAAATCTTGTTCGAAGATCGGCGAATCACGATCTGGGAACAAGCGGTTGAAATTCCTGAGGCTTCTGAAAGAGCCGAGACGGGCAATCCAAAATCGTCGTAGGGGAAAACTGTGCAAAGCGTAAGACTCTGCCACGAAAATGCGCACCTCATGTCTAACAACAAACGAATGACTGAAAAGTCATTGCTCATCCCCCTTACAGCTCTGACATAGAGCATTTCCGAAATTGAAGGAGCACCTAGGCAGTCAACCGTTCGAGACGGACGAGGAATTGCAAGGAGCTGTTACCAAGCTTCCAAGCGGACTGGCGACCGACTCCCTTGAGGAGGGAGTGAAAAAGCGGACTCCACGTCTAAAAAAATGAGTAGAAAACATGGAAAGAATGTATAAAAATAGCTTAAAGATCAACGTTTCCAATGGTGAATTCGTTTTTTCAAATAAAAATTCCTTCTTCCTCACCAATTAACGTGGCAAGTAAAATTGTAAAAACTGCGTTGCTGCCCCCATATTCGGAAAATCTATATCAAGCTTGCCTATCCAACACAGAATGAGTCATGAGCTTCAACTGACCTTTTATTACCGGAATCATATTGCGCTGATGTTCCGTTTTTTAAGTAGCATGGGGAGAACTGCACTAACACTAGGATGATAACAGAAACTGTGTAAAGTGATCGAATCAATGTGCATTTACCTTGAAGCCAAGTTCTCCGGGGTTTTCAGGCTCGAAATCGTAAAGTGCCGTGCAACATGGTTGTTTAGTCATTGGTGTTCGGGCAGGAGACTTCATAGGGGACGGCAACGGAGATGCTATTGGATCAGGACAAAAAATAAATAACTATGTGTAACTACTGTAATATATTGCTAACAAAAATGGAGGAATGATTTTTATTCGTTAATAATTGCAAATCGGGCATTCTAGGGGACGAATGCACAGTCGGTCTTCAATAGAGGCCTCTTTTTCGCGAGAACTTACTTGTCTTGATAAAGCAATTTTATGCGATTAACCAATCATAATCGGTAGTGTCTGATCTCATTTTAAATGACACGGATATATGATATAAATGAAAAGCATGAACAATTTGATGCAAAGAGATATTTGTAACATAACCTCAAAATAGAGCGCTGACACGGAACAGTAGAAAACTATGAAAATCAAGAAGGCGATAAAGGCGTACTACAATTATTGTATTAACGACTGACGATACGACCCTTATAAATTTTCGTAAAAAGTTGTCAGTGAAAAAAAAAACAATATCAAATGACAATAGACGTAGAACTACTGAGTTTCTTTTGAGTCATCCATTTTTTTTAGCAGAATACAAAAAGTAATTAAGTGCGTTATTAATGTCACAGTAAAGTATTTACTTATGTCTGAATTATATTTAAAATCGTTAAAGTGGGACCACAAAACAGATGTCTGTAGCAATCCTGTTCTCAGCTCTGTGTTCTGTGTCAGAAGGGCAAATGACAGGATAATCAAGAGCATAACCGAGGATTAACCGCGATTTATGACGGTTCATCGCTTAAAATTGCTTATAGTTTTGATACATGAAATTGACAGGGGAGCTGTCAAATATCTTTCTAATGAAAAAGCCGGCCTTGTCCAGCTAAGATTCCCTCACTGCCTTGCAAAGTCGTTTGCTTCAAGGCTTACTTACATCCCTATATTCTCAAATGAACGTAAGAACTAAGCTATTATGGTTCTCACGTCTATAAAAAGCACATTCCGCATCAAGCATCAAATTGACAAAAAAGGCTCATAAATAAACCACCTTCTTTGATATATGACAACTCACGTGTCACTCAAGTGGTGCAAGGCAGATGATGTGTCCTGAGAATATTCAGAACTCAAGAAACGACTATACATTCGACCAAAAAGCATGACAATAGCAAAATGTTTCCTTCAAAATGGTACAATGTAATGGTAAGATAGGATTTTATAAAAAAATAATTTGTTTCGGCATGTCATAAAAAGCTCGGTTCACTTGTTCCTGATAACCAAAATGCTTCGTCACAAGATCTAAAAGCCTCATAACAAGCACAGTTACTTTGCAAAAAAACACTGTAAGGTGATAAGAGTACACATTCGTATACAGGGAAAACCAAATATGTCTGTTGGCTTGAGTTCAATGTGTACGAGAGAGAAGCGCGTATAAACACAAGTTAGAAAGAGATGAAAGCCGGCTATAGCGAAGGTCATCACCACATCGCCTAGCAACGGTGACGCAGAAGGTCGTGCAATCTGCCGCGTTGCCAATATGTTGCACCAAAAAATGTTCGCACAGGCTTCTACAATAGGTTAGGTCACTGTCAAACCCAAGGAAGTCTGATCGAACATTTAATTTAGCGTTTTGTTTTTATTTTGATTAGAATTATTTATTTCAATTTTGATGCGACTTAGTGTTTTAATTATTTTAGAATTATCGACGATTTCCACCGATGGTGATAAAATCAACACATCCTGAGTTATTTTTTCATTTTGCGACAGCCTGCGGTCGGAAAATGTAACAAATACCATTATGCAATACAAATTATCACTGCCTACGTGTACGCAAATGAAAACCATTTCGAAGCAGGGCGACACTCCCCAATGAGCGCTAGATGAGCACTGACCAAAATCGCTTATCTATGACCATGAAGATAGGTGGAAAGCTTGTCTTGGAATATACAAGATGCGGTGTTAACGAACCAATGATGCAATGTTGCAGAATTCGTGGCGATCCTGACCTTTCATTTCGACCTGAAATGAAGCGCCGATAGGACCAATCCCGAATCGATCCTACACAGATTCGGCACAATTCAAAAATGTGTACGCTCAAAATAAAATCATTATTTGGGCGTAGAGAATAAACTAACGCATATTTTCAACACGCATCTTAATTCAAGGAACTGGTGTAACATATTGGCAACGCGGCAGATTGCATCTCTTTTTAAGGTATGTGTCTTACACACTTCTCTTCCGTACATATTGAACTCTATCAGACAAATTTGGTGTTCAGTGTATAGATGCAAATGTACAGATGTTCAGGCTTTTACAGCACTTAGTATCATGTTTAATTCTTAAATATACGAATCAGGAGATCACCCGAAATGTTTCCTCCAAGCTGACATCATCATAAATGCGTAAGTTACAAAAACTGCAGGAAAAATATGCGAATCTCTACTGGGTGATTCATAATTACGTGGTTACACAGCATGCATTTGTTATGACCTATGGAAATATTCGATTGTTACAAAAATCGAGTCGATACGTTTGTCCGCTGCCAGGGCATAATTTTTCGATTTCCTAGTGGTAGTAGTAGTTTATTGGCATTTTACATAAAGTGTGTTTACGCAAGCCAAGAATTACATAAATATCTAACATGTAATTCAGTAGATGTTTATTACTTTAAATGAGTATCCAAAAAAGGTACAAAGATTAGTTAAATGAAAACAGTCACAATAACACATTAACACAATAGGCACATTAAAATGTTAACTTGTTACAGAAAAAACTATTTGCTAGTTAAAGATATTTGGATCCTAATGGTAAAACATTGAAAAAACTGTGCTGTAGTGAATGCGTACATTTCTAGATGTTGTCAGTCTCAGATTCTTAAACTGCAAATTTTATTTATTTCTTGTATTGTGAATGTGGAAATCTAAATTTTTTGCATATCGTGAATCATTCCTAAATAAAACTTTAGCACCCTGTCTTTTAGTAAACAGGCACTTCAGAGCCAGTGTTTCCCAATTATGGAAATACTTTTTACCCTAACAATATTACCACTATCTTTTGAATCACCCTGTTCGTGCAAAAGTGTTTTAGGTGTTATCCGCATCCACAGGTTTCTAAGGTGTTCTAATATAAATTGTTCTCTAAGCTGGACAAATCACAAGTGTATCCACAAAAGCGCTATATAAAACTAGCTTTCGATTGCACATTATAAAAAAAGTCAAGGATGCAAGCTATAAAAAAAGGAAAAACATGGAGGCAAAATTTACCATTAGCAGACTGTTGTCCTGGATGCAACTCAAGATGATATGGTTTATGTTGCGGCGAAGACACTTGCGAGGAGCCTAACAACACATGTTTGTCAGAAAAACAAAAAAAGCACTTTGATATCAATGGTAAATTCAGAAGAAATGACATCGCAATGTTTCTGTTAACCACGATATTAGCAGGATTTCCACGTATTTCTAACAGTAAATCCGACGTCATCGAATCGATGCGTTGATCCGTTCAAAAATAACCATGATCGGGTCAAAATATCACTTTCGACCAAGCTATTGGAACGCGGCCAGTTTATTTGTTTTTGCTAATAACTGGCATGTCAACATCTACACTAACACTTTTGTAATCAATAATTAAAACCATGTATATAGTAAACGAATTGTTTAAAAAATAAAAAAGGCGTCAAGTAGACTAACTCTATACTTCCTACGTCTTCGTTGGGGGTATAAAAGAAAAAAGATTAGTCAAATCGTTCCAAAAGGTGGAATCTATCTATCTAGTCTGAATCTTCTACATCTACATATCGAAGTATACACATAAACATATTTTTGTTCATGGCAGATGTAGGGAAAATGTGTGATACGAACAGGTGCATAATATTACAGGCTACAATATTCAGCCCCTCCAAACGATGTCTGAAAATGATCAGGAATCTCTGAAACGTTATAATACTATGTTTCAGCGATTTTAATTGTTTGTCCGTAGTTCTGACTACTTAAACCTATATGATGTAAGCATTGAACTCGCGATAATTTTTGAACTTCACAAGTCTTCTGTTGCTTTAATATATCTGTATCACACAAGGTCGTGCTTCTCATTTATGTTGGTTTGTAATTCAGTGCCTGTTGTATACCAATGCGTAATACGTACTGAGCAAATCTACTTGACGAAATATTCAGAGAACTATCATCATTGTTTCAAAACTAAGATTCCCAATGCTGTAACTTTGTCGCGCGTGATGCTAGGCGAAATCTGGCAACACCACCACCCATCCCACAAGTAGCGCCTATTGGCGACGCTCAGTACCGGCGTGGCAGCCATGCGCAATGAAGTCCTTTATCGACGCCACCGCCAGGTACGAAATTCCTGGGGTCATCGGATTTTTTCACGCAAAAACGTTACCACCCGTAGAAATTCATCGCCAGTTGAGTGAAGTATATAGGGAAACATATACTCAAATGGCGGATAGAGTTCTTTGACGGCCGCATGGACATCTACGATGAATAACGAAGCGGGAGGCCGTCGATCTCCGAGAAAGTTATGGCGAAGATTGACCAAATCTTGCTCGAAGATCGGCGAATTACGATCCGGGAGCAGGCGGTTGAAATTGCGTAGTAGTAACATTGTGTAAAAATTTCAGCAGAATTCGAGCGGACTTCTCAAGTTATAGGCGGTCAGACCGACACACAAACAGACAGACCGACGGAAATGAGTGACATAGTTTTCCGTAAGGTACATATTATATAACATAAAAAACATAATACTTCCTTTTCGAAATTACTAGCGATTACAATAAGTAACAATGACATTTCAAAATACTTTTTCCAAAAATCGATTCTTCAGGAAATATCGTAAGTTTATGAGGAATTGGACTTCAACATGAAATAGGTCAAGGAACTATTTATAAATGCTTTTTTTAAAATATGAAACATTACTTCTAAGATTGCCTTCGTAGGTAATAATAAACAATGAGCATAATTTATTAGCAATGTTATCTACCCACAGATAAAACATTGCATGGCCGTGAAGGGTATATAAATCAATTTAACATCTCTGCTCCATAGGTATTTTTACAATGTTTGAACGGCCGCCAAATTTCCATTTTGTCAACATTATGGAATTGCGTAAGATTCAAAACATTCGTCTTGCTTTCGATACCCGATATTTTATATACGATACTTGGATGTATCGATTTATCTCACGAGTATCGTTATATTTTGATCCGATCTATGTCAGAAAGAGTGACTAGCTTCAGATTACTTTTCTTCTTTGTTCCCTTTCGCTGGTACTATCAAGTCACTTCACGACCTCACATAATTTATTTTGGATTTCGCGGTTGCCATATTACGGGGTTTCACCAAGAATCAGGGGATTTTTATTTCAATGGGGAAGATTTTGGGGATATTTTTTTCTTTGGATATCTTTTGGGGAAACATATTTTACTGGGGATGTATTATTGTGTACAATTTTATTAATGACATTACATAATGTACTTGTTATGAATTTATTCGTCTTTCGATTCGAAACAAATACTTTTATCTTTTGGGGCATTTAGCGACACAAGAAAAATATGTCGCGCAAAAAATATTTTAAGGTCCTAACAATCGTAAATCTATGGTAACAAAAATAAATGGAATTTTTTTGGGGTTACTTCTAAAAAGTCCTGAATTTAGGGGACACGGTGTTTTTGGTATTGATTGATTAAACATTATAGTTTAAAACAAAACATTATTGTGATGCCTTCTGTAAGAAGTAATTTGTGGAGCTATTTTGTAAAACCGAGTTTAGGTTGGAGATGTAAGTTATGTGATTGTGACGTTTTTTACCTATTTTTATTAGTGAACGTATTTGATAATCTACTCATGGAGTTGAAAGAAGTAAACATTATTTTGAGGGTTGTAGAAAAAACAACTTTGATTTTCGGCAGTGAACTACTATATGTTCCATATCGAAAGGTTCATATACTTGTGGTATCGATATTTTTACTCCGATATTTTAGAGTATCGAGACTTCCTAAAACGATACGAATCGATAAGGGTATCGATACTTTTCGTGGATCGGAACATCAGTACTTCAGAGCACCGTTTGACGCTGTTTAAGCGCAATCCGAAGGAGTTTCGGCGTCGTTTCGTGACCAAGAAACAGTAAGTGAAGGCTGTCCTATCAGCCAGAAAGGTGATGGCCACCGTTTTCTAGGATTCACAAGGTGTGATCTACATCGACCACCTGGAGACGGACAAAATGGTCACAGGGCTCTAGTATGCCTAATTATTGGGCAAATCCGACTGCCGAACTGCAGAAAAACGACCAGATTTGGCAAAGAAAAAAGTGCTCTTCCACCATGACAAGGCACCGGCTCACACATCCGCCGTCGCCACGGCCAAATTGGTCGAATTAGGCTACGAATTGCTGCCCCATTCACCGTATTCTCCAGATTTGGTCCAGTGAAAAAGTCACTCGCCGGGCGGAAATTTGAGTCGAATGAGGTTATCACCGCCAAGGAGGCCTAATTTGCAGACCTCCAGAAAACGTATTTTTCAGACGGGTTAAAGAAGTTGCAAGCATAGCTGCGTCACGTGTGTCGAGCTAAAAGGAAACTATTGTGAAAAACAAATCGCCACTTTTCAAAAAATTTCGTTTTTCTTTTGTAGGCTAAGTACTTATTGGACCGCCCTCGTCTATTAATAAGGACAGCAAAATTTCAAGATGCAGATCTAAAGCATATCGCAATGTTTTGAAATGTAATTTTTCAACAAAAATTGGGTGGTTGGAACGTTTGAACATGTCTTTAAACTTTGCAGCAAGGTTTTAATGCTTTAAGGCGAACGGATAACCCTTACAGTGCATAGCACGGACTTGGGTACTTGCCTGCTCAGAGCATTTGTCTTTAATTGTTGCAACCTATGGCTTAACGTTTCTTGCCACATTTACTGTAACATTCGAAAGCGTACTTTTATCAGTGTAAAGAGTATAGAACAGACAATTGTGCCGCCAATCAAGGAAAAATTGTCTTCTTGCAATACATTGAATGATTATGAAAGCGAAGATGTTTAAAGGATTATTTTCGTAAAAATGTGTGGTGCAAATACCACAATCAATATTGAGATCTCGCTAAAATGTATGGAAGACAATAATATGGGTGGTGGGAGAAAACACAACTAATCAAAACAAAAGAACTCACCAATAAAAATCATATAACAGTACAAAAAGTATAAAATCCACTACATCTCAAAATAAGATAAGCTTGGAGGAATGGGTTTAAACAGAAAAATATAAACAAAAGCTGTCTGTCGACTAATTTTTTGTTTTTGTTTTAACCCACACTAATTCTTGCCGACAGACAACGTACTAAATAAAAGTAAAAATGGGAGGACCATGTCAAAAGCAAGTTACACTACTTTTCAATCTATACGCCCCCTCCAAGGAAATTTGATACTCCGCTCTTAAAAAATTTGGAGGCTTATACATACATAATCATAATATACAAGTTGATGCTCCCCCCCTGTGAAAAAATCCTGCGAGCGCCCATGTATTCATGTATTTGACTGAAAAAAATTGATCCAGTAGTTCTAGGTAATTATGGAGATTCATAAAACTCGAATAAGTACCTAGGTGGAGGAAGCACTTATTGCAGTAATGACATACTTTTCCACCAAGGTATGTCAAGTACTATTTACCACAAAAAAAACTAACATAACAATTCTCAATTGGCGGTAAAAGCAAGTGGAGTCTCCATAAGTAGCTGAAGCTTGAAGTGTGATACCGAGACGCAGATTAAACATAGTGCTTTGCTGATGAAACCGTCCTCTGAAATAAAAAGAAAACAAATAAAAATACCTTGGGGGATACTCCAGGGGTCAAACGGGTCAGGATTGATCGTATGCCTGATAGGTACGGGCTTATTAACTGTTCCTTTTAACTGAGTGTTGTATGAAGGTACTTTGTTGTTATGACTACTAGGGATAATTAAACTATTTTGATAATTAGTACCATTCATGCCGTCGGACGATACTCCTTCGATGTTCAAATCTTGGAGCGTCTTCGGTACGAATTCTACTTTTGGACGATTTGCTGCTTCATCTTTCCTGGAATCGACAAAAAAATCATCACGTCAATGTCATCAAGTTAGTTAGTCCTTCCCCGCATGTATTTTTGCAAGGGTGGACATGCTATACTTTAGCGTAAAGTGGCAGTTGAAAATTCCAAAACTTCGTATGGCACTATCTTGGAACATTTTTTAAACAGGATGAGGGGGTCACTTGAAGCTCAGTATCAGTAATTTATAACCCTAGAATGTAGAATCACTATCTTTCAAAATAGACAACTGAATGGCTGTCAAAGTTGAGCGTTTTTGTAAATTGAATCGCTTATACATTTCAAGCAATCATCAATACTTTATATATACAAGGATTGTCTCACAAATAAGGTTCCCTACGCTGTATCTTTGCCGCGCGTCATGCCAGGTAAAAATCTGGCAACACTGTCGTGTTTGTCGGCTCCTGCACCACCAATCCCAACAAGAAGTGTCTATTTGCGATGCAGAGTACCGGCCCGACAGCCATGCCCAACGGAGTCCTTCATCGTCATCACCGCCAGGAGATTGAGCAAATCTTGCTCGAAGATCGACGAAGCACGATTCGGAAACAGGCATTGAAATTCCTGGGGCTTCTGGAAAAGCTGAGACGGAGAATCAAAAATCGTCGTAGGGGAAAACTCACCAAAGTGTGAGACTGCACCGCGACAATGGGCATCCCCCTTACAGCCCTGACATAGCGTTTCCGAAATTGAAGGAGCACCTAGGCGGTCAACGGTTCGAGACGAACGAGGAGTTACAAGGAGCAGTTACCAAGTTTCTAAACGGGCTGGCAGCGGACTTCCTCGAGGCGGGAATGCAAAAGTGGATTTCACGTCTAAGAAAATGCGTAGACAAGAATGGCAACTATGGTGAAAAATAGCTTAAATATCAACGTTTCCAATGGTGAATTCGTTTTTTCAAATAAAAAATACCTTGTATCTGAAAAAATGTGGGAACCATATTTTTGAAATAACTGTCGTAGTATTGTAACGCACTAGTAACTGAGACCTTGAATCTCTCGCCAAAACAATTGGCAACCATCATATATCGCAGCTCGCGACGCTTCGAGAGACAGAATCGATATTTTATAAATAACAAATCTATGGCAAATAGTTAAAAGGGCATAAGTGAACAATTTTTGGTCGAGAGGAAGATTACAACAATAATTCAGTAAAATTCTGTACGCAGATATATTAAGGAAATACCATTAAAATCACAATCAAAATTGTGACTACGATAAAAGCCTCAAGTTGACTTTATAAAGTTGAGTCAATTTATTTTAACAGCTTGTAGAACTCGTCAAAATAAGTTGATATACCACAAATCACCTATATAAAAGTTTCATAATAAAAGAGTTAGTTTACATAACTGAAACTTATTTAAAAAAATCATTATCAAGTTAAATGGACACGGTTTTCATAAAAACTGTTCAAAATTGTCCTCATTTATTCGATTAACGCAAAATCTTGCTCGACGACTTTACAAGCTTCGAATATAAAATGCTGGTGTCCACGAATTAAATCACAAGCATTTTCAGTGCGCTGTTTAAGTTCTTTCAGGGTATTTACTGCTCCATCATAACACACCAACTTTTTCAAATAGCCCCACAGAAAAAGGCGTTCAGTTCGGCGAGCGAGCAGGCCAAGAAATGGGTCCATTGCGCTCTATCAATTTATTCGGAAACTAATTATTTAGATGTTCATGAACTTCTCGTCTAAAATGTGATGGAGCCCCATCATGTAGGAACCACATATTCTGTCTCACATTAATTCAGAGGAATAATTGTGGCAGATTGTGTCGAAGAAGATCTAAATAAATTTCACCGGTCAGTCGAGGTGAAAAAAAGTAGGGTCCAATAACCATGCCACTTACCACGCCAGCCCGAACATTTAATGGCAATCTATGTTGAAAATGAGTTCTTTTTACAGGATGCGGATTTTCTACTACCCAAACATGATTATTGTGGAAATTGTGCTCTCCATTTCGTGTAAATGTGGCCTCGTCTGTGCATAAAATTAATTTCGTAAAATCTTCATTTCTGTCAAACTGTTCTAAAAGCCACTGGCATAATGCGACTATTCTCGGATGATCTTCAAGTTGTAACGCTTGTACCCGTTGATAATGATAAGGTTCATACTGTTCTTGTTGTATTATCTTACACACTTTACTATGAGAAACATCAACTTGAGCTGCTATGGCTCTATAAGTACTCATTATTGGGTCGTCTTCGACCATTTCTAAGATGTCTTCCTCAATTTGTAACATTTCAGGTTGAGCAGGTCTTCCAGCATGACCTACTCGTTGTTATTTTAACTAGCATGTGTAATGAAGTCTAATAACTAAATTTACAAACATCCGTGGGGCCGGATGATTTCTTAAAGGAAATCTTTCCGCATGCAACCTGCATGCTGCGGTTGCATTTTGTTGGCACTCTTCGTATGTTAGTATTATGTCCACTCGTTCATCGTTTTCGTAAAAATGGGGCAAATAATCAGATAAATGAAACTACACGCACTATTAAAAGACTGGTACAACTGATCGAACAAAAAATTCGTACTGAAAACCATACAATAACACACAAAGTTTGGCAAATTTAGATAAACGTTAAGAGTAGTAAACAAAAAACGGTAAGATTTTACACGGCATTAGTCGAGAATATCAAAAAAATCTGTGTAATAATAACATTCTTATTTTTCGAAATTTTTAATATTTTACTATTTCTTCTATTATGAAACTTTTATGTAGTAGTCTAGTCATATTAGACGAAAATACCCCTGGTTTGCGAAATAATTGTAAAGTCTGGTTTTATTGCTGTAAGTTGTTCAATGGGGTATTCAAAACATGGACGCATATATAATTTTCGTGGGAAAACTTTTTATTCGACAACAAAGAATGAGAAAACGTGTTTTTTGGGATTTAATCGAAAGTGTTGACAGGAACGAAAAAACTCTTCATGTAAGATTCTTAGGTATTTATGAGACCTACAAAATGAGACCACACGTCAAAATATCCGACTGATAGCAAAAAAGTTATGGCCGAAAACCGACGCAAACTGCAGGTTTTGGCATTTGTTGGTAATGCGATGATGGTTTCTCGCAGATATTTTAAATTCTTCAAATTCGTAGGATTCTTACTTTAAATAACCACAACAAAATTGGAATAGAATGTTCAAGTAGTTTTTGAGAATTTCTAATGGTTTATCCCAAAACACCTGTTTTCCGGCCAGTACTACCAGTTTATTGAGCAATATACATGGTTAGTTCAACGGGTATTTTATAGAAAATAAACTAGTTTAACTTGCCGATATGAATCGCAAACCATTCCGGAAGATAAATATTTTTATGCAAAAAAGGATGGGTTACATTTTTTCTTCTAAATAAATTCAAACATTTCGTATTTGTGAGTAATTCGCAACAAAAGATGATCAGACACATTCGTTTTGAATTAATATGTGTACAGTAACGTATGTATTTCGAATATCGTAGCGCATTTGTTCAATTATTACCCACAAATTCGAGATGTTTGATTTATTTTAGAAGAAAAAAAAAACGTAACCCTTGTTTTTCGCATAAAAATAACATTTATCTTTGGGAATGGTTTGTGATTCATATCGGTAAGGTAAACACGTGTATTTTGCTATTAAATGCTCTTTGGACGAACCCTGTATATTGCTCAATAAACTAGTTTTGATGACCATAAAACGGGTGCTTTGGGATAAACAATTAGAAATTCTCAAAAAACTACTTGACCAATATACTCCAATTTTGTTATTATTTAGATTTAGAAGTATGAATCCTACGGATTTGAAAAATTTCAAGTAGTTGCGTGATATTATTATTATCGTCGCATTACCAACAAGTGCCAAAACCTGCATTTTGCCTCGTTATTCGGCCATAACATTTTTGCTATTAGTCGGATCTTTTCACGTGTAGTCTCATTTTGTAGATCTCATAAATACCTAAGAATCTTATATGAAAAGTTTCTCTTTCGATTGAGTCCCAAAAAATCACGTTTCCTCATTCTTTGTTGCCAAATAAAAAGTTTTCCCACAAAAATTGGTGTACCCATTGTTCGTCGTCCATGTTTTGAATACCCCCTTGAACAACTTGCACCAATAAAACCAGACTTTACAATAATTTTGGGAAAATTTGCTAATATGATACGTGATTTTTGGTATATCAATTCCTTTTGACGAGTCCTACAAGCAGTTAAAATAAATGACTCAACTTTAAAAACACCCTGTATGAGTCGAGGAAATTGACTTGCACCCTTTTAACTGTTTGCCAGTGAAATACCCAACCAGATGGGGGAAGCAGTTATTCACAGAGTTTTGATGATTCGTTTTTTAGTTTTAAGCGATTGAATGTACAAAAATGCTTAATTTTGAGAACCACCAGTTTGAAAGATAGTAAATTAATATAATTAGGAACTTTTGAGTGAGGCGCCACATTCCCCAAATTCTATTTAAAAAATGTTCCAAGATAATGTCCAGCCACCATCCCGCATTTTTCAACTATCAGTTTTACGTTAAGTTATTCGCGCAGCAATTTTATCACACCAAATTTCAAAAATAAGTGAAAGAGGATATTTTTGACTGTACATACAGGGTGTACCCTAAACAACATGGGGTTAAAATGCAAACTGTCTGTATGTAGTATTTTTAGTCCGTGTTTGGGAAGCACACTGTATACTGATACCATTTGAAATACAGTGGGTCAAAGAAGTATTGGCACACCCTACTGTTTTTCTTGAATTTGACCTAATGTTTAAGAAAAGTGGCGTCATTAAACTTACTTTTCCAGTAAGGTTTCCGTTAGGGTTTTGAGAATTTCAGTACATTGGCTATGATAATCTAGCAGGCCCTCGGCAAAAGTAGCTAACTGTGCAATTTGTTCTACCTAGAATTAATACCGATTACTAGAATACGATAGTAGAATCATTTGGGTATCTTACATCATTCTCTAACAAGTTGAACATTCCCATTTGAGCAAGATGCAGAGATTCGGCGAATTTTTCTTCTGCCTGTCTGATTTCATCATCTGGAATATTAGATCCTATTTCAAAACGAAACCAGATCCAACAAAACATAAAAACAAAAATTATTAAACGAAAAAAAAAAGGAAACAGAAAAGAAGCACACTCATAAATCAACAATAAATAATTATAAAAATTACCAAACACACCCGGTGTTAAGAATGTTGTAAGGAAAATCGAAGCGCAGACTCGGTATTTCAAAATATGAATAGTCATATAAACATAGGACCAAAAATGTTCGAAATTGTTTTTTGAAGCACATGCATGGAATTTCCGGACTTTATCGATTTCATATTATCATGCGCCGATCTGCCTTTAAATTTTCTCTACGACAATCTGTAATACCCTGTATAACTCTTGTTTGGTGGGAGCACTTATAGGTGAGCAACATAGTTTCCTACAGGATAAACAGAAATACCTAAATAGCCCGATAAGTCATAGGGACCATTCAAATATTACGTAATCACTAAAAGGAGGCACGGGGACTCCGCTTTGCTTATTTTTGATGACATGGAGGATGGGGGGGAGAAGGTTATTACGCCAGCAATTTTGATTATAATATTGGAGATGTTGACATAAATCGTTGTGAGTCAACTAAGGATTTGGGTGTAGTTTTTGACCATAAACTTTATTTCTGACTCCATATAGCTCAAAAGGAGAGTGAATCATCATGGGCGTACGGATTTATTGTTAGAAACTGCCAAAGCTTCAGCAGCCCAGAGTCACTATTGGTTTCGGATTCTGCATATACATATGTATTAGATCGAAATTGAAATATGCATCGTTACTGCTACATTGATTCTCTTGAGCATGTTTAGAGAAAGTTTCTCAAATTTTTATCTTGCATATCCTGAGCAGGGTATATCTGAAAGTTTGTTGTCGTCTAGATTTCAAATGCAATCTTTAGAGCTGAGAAGGAAGTCCTTAGTCTCACCGCACGATGGATCCATTATCGCAAGAGAAATTTACTATCGTGTCGTCTCCTGTCAAAATTTCAGCCGAATTGGACGTGTAGTTTTGTTTTGACAGCGTCTAGAAGCGGGCATGTCTGCGGATTTTAGAAAAATGGAAAAACAGCAACATATCAGTCGGTGATTCGACTCTTGTTTTTGGAAGCGAAATCGCGCAGCGAAATGAAAGAGCGCTCAGATGCTGTGACTCTTTCCCTTCGATGGCGATCGTCAAAAATTGGTTTAACGAGTTTCAACATGGTCGCACATCGGTTTTTGATGAGCCACGCACAGGTGCCCCGAAAACGACTGGCAAGGAGGATAACGTGACGAAAATCCACGATCTCGTATTGGCAGACCGCCGATTGAAGGTGTGCGAGATAGCCGAGACAGTAGACATCTCAGAAGATCGCGTGGGTCATACCATGCATGAAATATTGGGCATGAGAAAACTGCCTGCGTGATGGGTGCCGCGTTTGCTCAGTCCTGATAACAAGCCCACTTCAGAGCAGTGTTTGACGCTGTTTCAGCGCAATCCGATAGACTACGTGGAGAAGGGCAAAACGGTCACAGGGTTCTACCTCGTACATGCTGCCAGTTTGAGCAGCATTCTGGGAGTAGCTAGGAATTACTTAAAACAATTTATCATCTCACTTGGGTGAAATATGTCATTTTTGCTTCTTTTTCTTATTTGTTTTTTCCTTTAGATATAATCACCTGCTTTTTGTATGTTTTCTATTTTTGTTAGATTGATTTATCTTTTCTTAAGATTGCCTTGTGAATTGTTTCCTTAATTGTTGGGAAATAAAGGCTATTTATTTATTTATACATGGTATTTAACATATACTAAATGACATAGAAAATGCAACACCGACTAGGAGTGCTGTAATTTTGAGCATACTTTTACAAGTTTTAGGTTTACTGATAAATAGAAAGTGATTCAAATTTTAACTCGAAATTTCGCAAAAAAGCTGAGATATTCCACCTTAATGTTAATAATGTGTTAACTCTGTTCGTTACACATTCTTCAAGTCATCGCGGCATTGATTGGATTAGGTGATTGATGTCTTCTTGATGTATTGTATCCCAGGCCATCTGAATTTGGTTGCATAGAGCCTCCAATGTTTGCGGACGGTGCGGTGAATTTTGCAGCCTTCTTCCCATCACGTCCCATACATGTTCGATGGGGGAAAGGTCTGGAGATCGAGCAGGCCATTAAAGCAGATTTACTCCGCACGCTTCTAACAAGTCTAAGGGCTCGCGCAGACAGACAAGCGTTCAGCGTTCAAGCCGCGTTCAACCGGTCAATTCCTCTTACGAGTTCTAACACAGACAGGAGGTAGTCACGAACACTGCGTTCCATTTTACGGAGATTACTTGTAGGTGAAATATGTATTTCGATAGTCCGTCTTCAGAAGACGAACCATTACTTTTGTGGAGTTTCGAAGAGTCTAATAAGAAAAAAATATACTGGGAGCATCCGATTAAATATAAGAGAAATGAAAAAGGAGAGTTCACTGTTTTTGTTTCCTGCATTGCTTGAAGATCAAGAACGATTTTTTATTTACTTCCGAATGCCATTAAGTAGTTTTAATGAATTGCATGATTATATAAAAAAGGGAAATAGAGAAACAAGACACCAACAAGGCTATATCTACAAAAGAAAAAGCTATCTTGCGAACGAGGCGTTTCACGAGTTCTTTGTATTTCTGACAATAGGACGCAAGCGCGACCGTTCACACTGACCGGCGCGGTCTGACTGACGCTGTGTCTGCGCGACTTTGTAGAGATCTATTAGTTACAAAAAACGTGGAACGCGGAACTCGGAACGCTTTGTCTGCGCGAGCCCTAAACTAACACGTGCGAGGTCGTGCATTGTCCTACTGAAAAAGTGGATCTTGCAATGTTTACAAAAAGGGAAGCAGATGTGGTTGTAAAACTTCGTGGATATAGCGCTGGGCAGTCAGGCTACCTCGAATAAACACTAATATTGACCTGCTGCCGTAAGCAATGGCACCCCATACCATAACACCCACAGTGCGATGAATATGCCGTTCGATGGAATATTTCACCACGTCTCCTCCTTACTCTTGCACGGCCATCATGTGTGCCCAAACAGGATCTGGACTCATCGCTGAACACGACTGAGATCCATTCCAGACTCTATTTGAGTCTCTCCCTACTCCATACCAATCGTCGCCGACGATGCTGCGGGGTCAGATGTAGTCCAAGATGTAAACCAAGATGTAAACGGTGTGAAAACAGTCCAAAAGACTTTATTCGGCGATAAACTGTCCTCGTTGTTATTGCCCTTCCGATAGCATCAAACCACTAGTTCGCAACTGCCCTTGTTTTGGAAAATCGATCTCCAAGTACTAGTTGCCTCAAATAAGGATCCTGTCACCCTATAGTATGTCTTTGATGTCCAATAAGTCTAACTCGTCGATTTCGGCCTTTTTGGAACCACGCTCGACAACACCTCATTACAGTAGCTTCGTTTCGATTGACCAGATTAGCGATTTCTCTAAAAGAAAATCCGGCTTGACCTAACCCGATTATCCAACCCCTCCCAAACTCGGAAAGTTGAGTGAAATTAGCGCGTCTGCGAACTCTAGGCATGATAATGCAATGGAACAACAATGAAACAAGTGGATCCTGGCGGCCTTCAACATTTTATCAACGTATACGTCCATGATAGCAAATATGTTTTTATCAAAATTCAATAAATAATTCTGGTTGTTGCATTTTATAATATATGTCAATATATGTGAGTGAAAGCCAATACTTGCTTCAAGCTGTACATGTAACAAAAAAGCATGGGAGCGGAGGTAAGAGATTTTCTTACTTTTGCTGAGAAGGCGGGGTTAATAATTGTAAAAAATCTGATTACGTAATACTTGAACGGCCCCATAGAGAGAATTATAAGCAGTATTAGGGTCCACTTCTAGCTGTCTAAAGTTAACCTTGGGATTAAGTATTAGCGATACTTGAGTTATCTAAAAGAACATACCACAAACCGCACTGGTTTTGACGGGACTTGAATATGGGGATCCTACCCCTTTCCCTAAATATATACATTTCATTAAGTTACGTATGATAAAACATAAACTTCTAAAATCGCATGACCCTTACGATCAGATTTTCGATATACCGTGATGTCCATACTTTTTGGTTGGATATCGGGAAGTTACAATACTTTTTCCAGAATTATAAGATGAGCTAAAGTTATGCTATAAATTTGTCGCATATATGTATGGTAAACGGTCGCCACACCCTGCATGAATGAAAAAAAAAAATTAGTTTTATTAAAACCCACCTTTTGCTTGTCGTCGTCGTTTGCAGTCAAAATCAAGCCTTCTTCCTTGTAATTTTTTTCGGTGATGCTGTAATATAAAGCAACAACAATTGGCAACGCAGGTTTCAATGCTATTTTTTGATATACGGCCCTGGATTTTTTTTCTGTCAAAGTTGAACAAAAGAGGAAAGTGCCTTAAACCGGACCTCTCCCAAAAAAAGGATGCCCGGTCTCATTTTCTCTGCATTCTCTAATATTATTTCATTACTGTCAAGTGTAAATATTAGCACAACCCAGTACCACTGAATGAATTTTCGTGAAACCTTTACTATTGCATTGTTAAAAGCATGAATAAAAAGTTTACTCTTCAAAATTGGACGCTCTCCATTATAACAATTTTTAACAATTAATATAGATTATCAGCAGCTTCTAAATTAGAGTTTTTTTGGTTTGGACAATAGTTCTGCGGTGAGATCCGAATTTGACTGACGCTTTGAGTTCAATGTGTACGAGAAAAAAGCGCGGGAAGTGTATCAAAACACATATGTTATAAATACATAGAAACCGGTTGGCCAGCGAAGCTCATCACCACGTTGCCTAGCAAGGCTGAATATTTTGAGCGTACACATTTTTGAATTGTGAATTGTGTCGAATCTGTTTAGAATCGATTCCCGATCGGTAATAACGGCGCTCCACTTTAGGTCGAAATGGAAGGTCAGGATCACCACAAATTCTGCAACATTGCATCATTGGTTCGCTTGACGACACCGCATCTCGTACATGCCAAGGCAATTGCAAATATTTAGGAATAACTGAAATATATGAACAAATGAAAATTTCAGCACCGCGCCAAAACTTTTTCCACAACTAACACTAGTAGAGTGAGCTCAGATTTAAACCTCGGAACCCGGTTCCACTGGATGGATTTTTGCAAATTTAGTGGACCGCGTTTAAAATACGGTATACTGAAAAACGTACCCACGTCTGCAATTTTTACTAGAGGTCCGGTTTTGGCACCTAATTTTCCAACCATGTATGGCTTTTCAATCATTAAATATTATTTAATACCTATTTACAATTATAATTTATAGAAGTGTAATATGAATTATACTTAACAAAACAATAAACGTCACATTATCTTAGCTACGTTTCATACAAGGTGTCCCAGAACTCGTCGTCAAGCTGGAAACGGGGGATAGGCAAAGTCATAATAGGTATCAGAAAAATATAGAAAATCTAAGTCGTATACTTTTCAAATTATAGGCTGTGATCATCTTTTAGTTCCCATTACTACAAATTAAAAAATTCTTATCCGACTGAGTGACGGACAGTGTCATTCTACGTAGTGACAGCAGAACAGATAGTCGCATTTTATTAATTCATGATTGTGTAGTGCCACCATGTCTGTGCACACCGTACGCCATCAGGCACCTCATTTATGGGGAATACAGATGCAATGCTAGTGTTGCAGCTAGGTTTTATAGTGAAAGGTACCCAAATGCTACTCGCCATCCCGATCACCGAATTTTTGTGAATGTGCACCGTTTACTCTCAGAGGGACGATTCCCAAATCAAGAACATGGAGAAGGAAGAATTCCCTTTCTTTGCGACGACATCGTACTAGAAATAGTCCAAGAAGACCGGAGTACTTCAGTATGTCAAATAGAAGCAAGCACGGGAGTGCCCAAAAGTACAGCCCACCAACTTTTGAGAAAGAACGAGATCCACCCGTACCACGTACAGCGAGTACAATCTCTACAACCCCGGGATTATCTTCCAAGAGTTGAGTTTTGTCAAACATTGTTTCAGAGACTCCGGGAAGATCCGCGATATTTAGAGAAAATTGTATGGACTGACAAGTCGACATTTAAAAAAGATGGTTACATGAATCTACACAACTTACACCAGTGGCATATAGAAAATCTATATCTGATGAGACAAGATAGATCACAGTATCGTTTTAAAGTACACATGTGGCCCAGGATTCTAAATTGGAGAATCATTGTACACTCTGGGCTGCCAGGGTTCTTAAATGGCGAAATTTAGTCAAAGCCAATCAAAAATTTAGCTAAGCTACAGGACAAAATAACGGAAGCAACAGAATAATGTTCTGGAGTAAGGCAGTTTCAACAATTATTGTGAATTTAATAAATACATTCACGAATTAATAAAAGTGGCATTACTATATGTCTTGCTGTCACTACGTAGAATTACTCTGTCCATCACTCCGTCTAAGAAAAAATTAAAATTTGAAATAATAGATACTAAAACATCATCACAGGGTGTAGATTTTTTCAGTTTTTTTAAAGCCTATAATTTGAAAAGTACACAACTTAGATTTTTTTATAGTTTTCTGATAACTATTAAGACTGGGCTTATCCCCCGTTTCCGGCTTGACATCGACTTCTGGGCAACCTTGTAAATTATTTTAAAATCAATAACAAAATGGGGGTCCGATTTTTTGGACTTTCCTTTGCCAGTCGAGTAATATGTATTCTGAAAATAATTTAATAACTTAACATTCACCTAGCGGTATTAAGCACCCCAAAATACTTCCGAGAGAATATAATCACAGATATTATCTCCATAGTGATGTATCCGAAACAATTTTAATTTTAAAACTCGAGATTCGACTTTATTCCAGATAATTTCGCAAGCAACTTGCTACGATTATGAGAAAATAACTCGAGATATGTATTATGAAAATCCAGAACTCCAGATCCGTAATCAAAAAATAAAGCTAAGGGTACAAAAGGTACATTTTCATTAAGCCAAATATGTTAATGATTTGCATGCAGTTTTCTACATATTTAAATTTAGTTACAAATGGTCTCAATCGCTGGATATTACAAAAATGTCTAAGTTAAAAAAAGGACTATGAGTAATGCAGATATGACAGTGGCAAAAAAATTAATAAAACAATCGCGCGAAGTAACAACGTTTCAGATATATTTTGGATCTAGGAAATTGGAAAGGTCTGACAGCGGACATACAATTCTGTCATCAATTTTAACATCGACATATATCGTCGGTGAATTTTAAAAACTACGAGTTCTGTAAATTAAGTGGCGAGACTGGCAACGTAGCGTCCGATCTGGCAACACTGGAGGCGCCGGGCTTTGAGGGGAGAGAGGGAAACATGTGATCCGCCTTCAGTACAAGTTTGATCTCGCGCGAGTCATTTGGTTGTCCGTAGCTATTTTTTGTGAAACAGTTTTCCCCATTGTGTTTTAAAAAGGATGACATCAATTTCTAGCAACGGTGTGCTATCAGGTTTTGCTTCAGACTTGGGCACAGTGCAACGGAAACTCTCGCTAAACTTCAGCAGGCCTACGGAGATAGTGTTTTGTCCGCAGTCCAGGTTTTTCGATGGTTTACGGCATTTTCAGAAGGGACAGAGTCGACTGAAGATGAACCACGAAGCGGAAGGCCTTCATCTTCAAGGAACGATGAAGATATGCAAATAATGAGGTATCTTGTGCATTTAGATCGTTGGTTGACAGTCAGAATGAACGAGGAATAGTTAAATTTGACTCACACCACCGTTTATCAGATCAAGAACAACTGGGAGCTCCATCATGGAAATGCTCCTTGTCGCACAGCAGTGTCAATAAACTAGTGACTTGAGTCCTTGAGACTTTTTTCTCTTCCCGAAGATGAAAAATCACCTCAAGAGAAGAGGCTGTTCCAGTATCGGAGTTCCAGCACTGCTATGAGGAGTGGAAGTACCGTCTCCAGCGCTGTGTGGCTTCAGAACGAAGTTATTTTGAGGGTGAAAACATAAAATCGTAATTATATTTGACTGAAAAAATTGAAAAATCAGTCTCATCACTTAATTCACAGACCTCGTATATGATAATGCCCGCACTATACACATGGACAATTGTCATATTTTTGTACATTACGATACTGACTTATAAGTTACCTCCACCTTCTAGACCAATGCCTTAAAAGTTCCAATAAATTTAATATAACAATAGGATTCTTAAATTTTATTCGGTATCCTTCTTTGTATTCAATTGCACTATACTCCACATCATCTAATTTAAATTCACATCAAAGAAAAACCAGGGCAAACCTTTCGGAGGATAATACACCAATTGATAAGTAAACTGATATTCCGATTAGTACAAACAAACTCTTGAGCCCGCCACTCACGATCCAATGCCGAAGTACAATTTTGTCGAATGCGAAAAAATCGAACGCAATTTGATCGTGTATTTTTATTATCCAATCAAGCCGGTACGATTTGACCGCAGACAAACAAGTCAGTCTGCAGCAGTACAACACTGTTGGTTTGATCGTTCATTTGATCGTGTACTGCGACGTGCGATTACACTGTATGATTTTGGTGCGGCTAACAGCAAAACACACATAAAAACAACCTAAATTTGGCACATTTTAATAATATTTCTCGGTCTACGCATATTTATAAAAATGGCTTACAATGAGGATTTTTTAAGAGAATTTTTTGAATTATATAAAGAGCAAAAATGCCTTTGGAAAATAAAATCGCCGTATGGCGTTTAAGAAACCAATTTTTACACAACCATCTACGTTTCTTATTTTTACTTTTACTTTAAGTAATACAAAATGCAAGAGCCGCTAAAACTAGATTTTCAACGGCCATGTTTCAAATCAAAACTCATACTGCAAGATCGTTACATGTCTGTCCTTATAGAATTTTCGACAAAGTCATACAACAATTGCATTCGACAAAATTGTACTGCGGCGTTGGATCCTGTGTGGCGGGCTTTACAGGTTTGCTGAGTTTTGCTAAACCGAACTGAAGGTAAAATCTTTTAATTTATTATGTGTATGACATAGATTACCTTTCACCTTGGCGATGCGAAGGTGTGTTTTTTAGTAATGTGAAATGTTTGTGCCTGGATATTCCTGCTATCTACTTTTGATTATTTATCGGTGTTTGGAGTTGAATTGAAAGCAGGAATTCGTATCGTATCGTACCGCATCCTAGGTTAGAAGCAATGCTGGAAAATTATTTAGGGTAAAATCCATGTTCTTGCGTTACACTGGACATTGCAGTATACATTTCCTAGACCATCTCCCAATCCATGGCCCAATATCTTAGAAACGTTCTTACTTCACGCGATATTTTTGCAATATATATTAGGTAAGAAATGAAATACGTATCATCACTGGCCGCGAGAAAAAGAAACACCAACATTTTTCGAATATTACCAGTCGCACTTTGACCCCTTCAAAAATGTTTTTGCTTCAACCAAAAAAGATCGAAAACTCTATGAAGTATGGGAAACGGATTTTTACCAAGTCCAACAAAAATACTCAGCGATTAAGGGCTCACCATCACCATACTTAACATATGATAAGGACTTATACAATGGAACATCACTCACCATAACTTCTTTCAAATCTTTGGTCTGCAGGTGATGCAACGGTTCCAAAACGTTCTGCTTGATATTATCGTCAAGCGAATACTTGACATCGGCCATTTGCCTAAGGGACTCACCCATTTCGACAAGGGCCACGCCAAAAGGGCTATCATCCCCTAATTTTTTGCCGTAGGTGAGCATACAGTCACCTAGCACCCCCTCAGGCTGAGGGTAAGTGTTGGACTTGGCTTGACCACTCAATTTGCTGATACCCTTTACAGCCGCCATTTTGGCCCTTGCCGTTGGATTAGGTTGCAGAAACTCTTTAGTCTTCATTTGGAGCTCTTCCACTAGTTCATATGTTACATCGGTTTTCTGAAAATATAATAGTGTACAGCGTTTACCGCTAACATTACACGTGTCAAACATTACAGAGTGTAAATGGCAACACTGACAAGGTTCTTTCCATCTATACTGCAAATTTATAAAACCTTCCTCAGTCAACACTCAGCTGCTCTAGCATAGGGATCCCGTCCCCTAACTTTACCAAAGTACAGATCGATGGACGGAAAGCACCTAGCCAGTGCTGCTGATTCAAAAAAATATAACTTTCGGTTACCCTTTCCATATCCATAAAGTCCAGGTCCAGTTTTGTGCCTTCTGCACCTCCCATTTTTTCCGTAACATACTGGAACAAAAAAAAAATATTCTAGAATAAAGAAATATGTAGAACAAACTCCTAACTACCTGAAAACGATGGATTAACGGGGTGAAAGGTAATTTTTTTCGAAATTGTATTTATTGTTGCTGTGATTACGCAGTAACAAATGGCTGCAGACGGACAAACCGATAGATTTAGATAATAATAACAGGTCTTTATTAAGGTATTATTCATTATAATATACGAAGTGTTAATTAAGTATGTATCATAAATTCAAAAGACGATTCTTTGGGGTGTTAAAATTTAAAAAAAATGTTTTTTTCGTAAACGTCTTAAATATCCTTTACCTAATTTTGTTGTAATTTTACGGTAGTATTTCTGACATTAAGGACATAATTTAGCCTTAACTTGATTAAATTTATTAAGTCCAGTGGCTTTTCGAGCGGGATCTGAACGAATATTTGTGCCAAAAAAATGTACGCATCTGACTTTTGGCACAAATTGTATTATGTTCTTTGGATCAAGCAAATAGAAATACGTTTTTGTCTTTTTGAATTTTCTTCGTATCTTCCTTAGTTTTCGAGAAAAAAAAGGCCACTTAATTGCATATCCCTGGACCACAACAACAACAAATACGAAATAACATTAACACAATTAATAATACAAAAATATAAGAAAAAATAATTTCTAGTAACTTTTCCCCAATATTCCTTGTGTGGTCCAGATATATTTTCCAATTAATGTCAATAAAACTAAAATCATAACAATTCACTTCAATTTTTTGTCACTAAATATAAAAATATCCCTGGAGTAGTACTGGCATTGCAACTGGACACTGTCATCTAAAAAACAGGTTCATCATATGACGCAGAGTTAGATATCTGAGAAAAATACAACAGGTTGCTCGGATAATTTATTATTATAATTAGATTTCAGAAATTACGCTGCTTCAAAAACATCCGCAATTCGCTGTTCTACAAAAATATGTTTCATCACTATTGCAAAATAATTCATTTCATTAACGAAACTGCATGTTATACTGCCATAAATAGAATTTTATCAGAATTTACGGATTGTGTGTAGGAGTAGTGGTGCTTATCGTATATTTTCTTTATCAATGGTCGAAGAACAAACAATATACAACACGGAGTCTATTCTGGTGCCTCGTAATCGTAAGGAAAACTAACAGTGCATCAGATATAAAATACATTGGTATATTCCTGGACCCGCACTTGCGTGGGGATGTTCATATTTCATATATTTTAAAAAAAGTTAGATATGTCTCGTATAAAATTAAATACATCAAAAAAATTTCAAGAAAAAATATCCCTATACCTCATACCATACCTTGATCGAACCACATTTATCCTACGATATATTGGCATGGGGAGCTACATGCTCAACTATATGTATAATTTAGATATTTTTCAAAAAATGATTTTAAAAACAATATTTAATAAATCAAAATCGTATCCAACTGGTTTACAAAGATATACACATACAGGGTGTTTCACAACTTATCCGACAAATTTTAACCACATATGCACTGTTACGAAAGAAGTTGATTTCTCAAAAAAAAAAAATTGAATAAAAGTCCTACAGAAATCAGGTTATAAACCTGAGTTTCAATAATAAATTGAAAAATAAATATCTGTATTTTCCGTTCATCCGCGTGATATTAGAACACGCATTAATAATTTATTGTAGCAAATGTTGTACCAAACAACTCACGAAAACAAAATACCAGGAATTTTTAGTTTTTTCATACTGATAAGAACGTGTAAATAAGGTTTAATCTGTATCGTGGGTGATCTGAATGAAGAACGGTCGATTTTTGTGAAGTTAAATAAGAAAGAATTTTGCGAGGTTGTTTTTAGTTATTTATTAATAAAAATGGTGCATGTGTACACTAATGAGGAGTTAGTGGACATTGTTTTAGCGTACGGAGAAGCAGGGCAAAATTCGCGAACGGCTTCTCGTTTGTATGCACACCGATTTCCGAATAGTCACATGCCAGATCACGAAACCTTTAGTTCAATTGTTTTAAGTGTACGTGCTAGTGGATATTTGCGCCCCAGACGTGGAGTGGATGGTGGTCGGATTCGTCCACAACGCGTTTTAAATGCCTAAGACGAAATTTTGGATATTGTGGAACCTTTTATAAGTAGGTGAAATGTTAAACTCATCATATTATCTCGATTTCTGTAGGAATTTTATTACATTTTTTTTTGAGAAATCAACTTTCGTAACAGTGCATATGTGGTTAAAATTTGTCGGATATGTTGTGAAACACCCTGTATATGACTTAGCTCTTACATGCTATAATCAATCATCACAAATCACACACAATCACCGCACTAAGAGGAACACCTATACCAGTACCTAGGCCAAATAAATTTATAACACAACGATCGTACCTTATTTAGGTCTAAAATTATACATAAATCTACCTGACGATATAAAGCGTCTACTATTTGGAAATAATTCCAAGAAAAAGTTGAAAGAATGGATTTTTTCTCTGGAAAGGCCGGACGTACACAAATTAATAGTAAATTTGAACATCAAATAATTTGTTGATTAGTTATATCTCTATTCATATTCGAATAATATGTACAATTCAAACAATAATGGTCCATGTACAGGCAATGCCTCCTATGGACCGTTACTTCATACTTATTTACTCATTGTTTATACTGTGTTCTAGGAGTACATAAATATTAACATTGTTATTATTTATCAGCTTTGCAGTAACAATTTTAATATGCACAAATTTCAAGCTGATCTATATATTGTGACCGAATAGAGGTATAATTTTTATTTCCTTTTAAAGAATATGCAAAAACTATTCTTAACAACCAATACAAACCACAAAAAACTACCGAATACCTGTCCATACGTTTCAGCCTTGTGTTGACAACAATCGTATTGGTTGACCAATAAAAGTTTAAAACTCTTTGAGTGGCTAACATTTTTAATGGGCGTCGATTAGAACGGTTATCTCACCAACGTTATTACGATTTTAAATGCGTGGAGATATCGATTACAAGAATTTGTTATTCAAGTGCATCAGTAGTAATAGTGCAATATTGAAAAATGCAATAACGCATGGTTTTCTGGGGTGAATTTTTGAAAGATGATGTTTTAGATATCTGAGTCGCTTTCCAGTGCCTCATTTGTGTTAATCGGAGTAACTTGGTACTGCTCACAACCTGTAAATACCGTTTCACTGCTCTAGAGCATCGTGCACCTGAGCTACTCATTTTTGAAATCCCCTGCCCCCTCATGCACTAGCTTTTTATTCGGTCTCATACGCTCCTAAATAGTGGGGTTAAATGACAATGTGTCAAGATTGTTAGGTTATGTTTTATCACCGTTTTCTTTTTGCATTAAGCTCACATTAAACCGGTACCAGACAACGGAGGCTGGTAAAAAGCTGATGATGACCCAGAATATAATCTGTGCCAGAATCACAACATACATTTGAAGTGTTCCTGAATAGTAAAGATCACAAGAGAGCGCAAGAAGGCAAATTCATAGCGGCTTGTAATTGACTTCATCTATAACTAGATACTTTGAGTATTTATCGTTGCGTTTCCGTGCACATTTGCTAGAGCAGTTCGAGAGCGTCACACTCAATTCAAAAGCACTGGAAAGCGTCTGAGTAGGATCCTCTTGTCAAATTTCTACACAGCCTGCTGAGCAAAACTCAAAATGCATTATCGTAAGGACACTGGTTATAGCTTACTATGATATGATGAACAGATTCAGAACCTTACCTGGTTACACTTGTTTATTTGCTTCTTGAGGCCCGCGAACGCCATGATGTCTTCTTAAACTAAACCTGCAATCAGAAATTACTAATTGATCGTAAAACATAATTGATAATAACAAAGGTGTTAAAGAGTAAGTGTGAGAACAGCCGTGTTTAGGCATCATCAGCAGTTTTGAGGACGACATGTTTTTGGAGTCATCTCTTATCTCTCTCTAATTTTATTCGCATTGTACGTATTCTCTTCATAGAACTAGCCTTGGACTGCTCTGGTATACGAGGTCTGTAAATTAAGTAATGAGATTGGCAACGTAGCGTTCGATCTGGCAACACTTGAGGCGCCGGGCTTGGAGGGGAGACAGGGGAACATCTGATCCTCCTTCAGTACAAGTTTGGTTGTCCTTAGCGATTTTTTTGTGAAACAGTTTTTTCTATTGTGTTTTAAAAATGAGTGACATCAATTCAAACAATGGTGTGCTATCAGGTTTTGCTGCAGACTTGGGCACAGTGCAATGGAGACTCTTGTTAATCTTCAGTAGGGCTACGGAGTTTTTTGTCAAGATCCCAAGTTGTTCTGTGGTTTAATGGATATACACGGAATAGTCCACAAAGAGTTTCTACCTCAAGGCCGAACGGTCCATCAGCACTTTTACCGGGAAGTTCTTGAAAAAGAGTAATTCGTGTGAGACCAAACATCAAGAACAACTGGGTGTTGCATCACGATGGTAAAAACATTCTTGTGTCTCCTCAGTCACCTCATTCGCCTAACATGAGTCCTTCCTACTTCTACATTTTGGGACAGACGAAAACATTCAAACTACCTGAAGGCTATTCCAGTATCGGAGTTCCAGCACTGCTATGGGGAGCGCTGTATGGCTTTAACAGGAAGTTAAGTTATATTTTGAGGGTGAAAATATAAAATTGTAATTATATTTGAATAAAAAAAATCAGTCTCATCACTTAATTTACACACCTCGTAACTCTATCTACTTTTTCACGATGACCGATTCATGCTTTGGATGTCAAACGGGAAATTAGATTCTCCCAAGGTGTTCGCCCGGTTTTCCCCTATGTACCTTAAATATAGTAAAACATGCAAATATAAAACTTGTGATATTTTAATAACTGTAATTTTCAATAGTAATCAATAAAACATATGATTAATATGATTCCTTTGCTCAATTTATATACTACTAAACCTATTTCATGCTGAAGCAACATTTTCATTAATGGACTGTGAAGATTATTTGACATTTCAATCTCAAAACTCATATACTATATTAAGCCCAAAAAATTGGTTTATTTATCAATGGCACGGTTTTTATTGTCTCCTGAGAAATTCAAATTGTGTTACTTCATTCACAACATCGATGACATTTACAGGACAAACCGCGAATCTTCTAAGCATAATCTCATTTGAAATTTATCTTCGTTGCGAAATAGGAAGATCAAATGATAACTTCCACCAAAATGATAAAATTGATACAATGAAAACTTTCATTTGAACTAAAAGTAGTTTTATCCTTTAGCTTCATTACAGGTTATCGTGTTCTTTCAAGGTAAGGATATTGTCTAAAGGCAAAATATGAATGGGATAGAAATCAATACCACAGAATTGTACTAAATGTAAACTATCATTCAGCAATAAAGAAGCTATGAATGGCTTTTATCTGCTATTTTCCATGGTAACTCAAAACAAGGCAATAAAAGAAATACAAAAAAAATAGATATATTACAAACCGGAATTATTATCTGTATTATAGACCTGCAACTTTAATTGTGAATATAAAGGAAAACGTAAATAAATCAGTTAGCTTTTAGAGTAGAATAGAAACATATGCTATGGAAAATGATCAAAGGCATAAGGAAATCTGGTTACATCATGCTATTGAAAGCTATGCAATACTTTCAACGTTTTTTAAGTGAATCAATCTTAATTTGTGATTTCTAGGTATAATCACAAAAAGTTGTAAATGTGAAGGACAAAAATTATTGAAAAGATAACTGCATATAGGGCTGAAGTGCCCTTCAGGAAGAGGGGCCTACAAAAGGAGACCAGGAAACGTTAACAAAGGGCCAGGTTGTGAGAATTATATCAAATATTCAAAGTTCTACGTACCGATACAACAGGATTCGGGGAAGGGTGCAAAACCACTACTTATTTGGAAATGAAAATAGAAAATTCCTTCAGGGGTACACCACACACAAATATCGACTTTGCAGGAAATAGCGCGCAATTTTTGTGCGCACTTATCGATAGATGTGCTGTGCCGTATTCCACTCTAAAGCAGGCCACACAATATACAAATATGGACGCTCGCCAACTAGACCAAAAAAGGTGTCAAGTAAATTGACTCGATACTGCACACGTTGGATTTCAATATTTCATACACACGAAAACTCTTAACGATATTATGATACACAAGGTCTGTCGCAAAGTAGACAGAATAAAGAAAAAAATGAAAAAACATTTTTTGTTTCGGAAAATCGAATTTATTTCATTCAAAATAGTCTGCTTCAGAGTTAATACAGCGATTTGCACTGACCAAAAGATCATCGAAGGTAAAAAAAAAGGTCAGTCGACCGGCACGTCTTGGATAATGTGGAGGTTGTCAGTGAAAAAAGATGAAATCTCGGGGGAATTTTCAATAGTTGATAGTTTTAAAATCTCCAAATTTCTTCCAAAATCAATCAACGCTTATTTAAAAAAACCTTTCAAAATGATTTGCCATTTAATAATAAAATAATTCCGTCCTAATCAAACCTCATCAGTCCAGTTTTTTATTCGTCGAGTATGTGTTCCCTTCACTGTTGTTTTAAAAACAATTTCAGCAACAATCTCGCCGACTTACTCCAGACGATGAAGACATAGATCTTCGAAAGCTTGAGAGTTTAAGTTATAAGAGTGAACTTTTGCAATACTTTGCCTTCTACCCAAAGAAATTAAAGAATATATATAAAAATATAGGAAAATAATGGGCCAAATCCGCAAAAAGGAGGAAAGTGGATTCGAGCAGAAAATAGGATAGGTAACCAGAGCGATACGTATTTCTGAAATGAATGCACATATGCAACTACAAAAGTAGATACACATGCTCGTACATCCGGATACGGGTGTAACCTGAGGAAACAAAGATGGAGAGGGAAAAAAATCACACACGAAGTCCACAACAAGAGCCAACCTACACATTGTAGTATAAAATGGCTAGAAGACCTCGAATTTTCAAGGCGACATCTAACCACAACCACGCGGCCGGTTATAGCCACTTGCTGTGGTATTTCAAGCCCAAAGGATCTTATATACATTTCTCCGCATGATTATTTTCTCTTTGTAGATCCTTTGGGCTTGACGTACCACAGCAAGTGGCTATAACCGGCCGCGTGGTTGTGGTTAGATGTCGCCTTGAAAATTCCGAGGTCTAGCCATTTTATACTACAATGTGTAGGTTGGCTCTTGTTGTGGACTTCGTGTGTGATTTTTTTCCCTCTCCATCTTTGTTTCCTCAGGTTACACCCGTATCCGGATGTATGAGCATGTGTATCTACTTTTGTAGTTGCATATGTGCATTCATTTCGGGCCTGATGAAGCCAACCAGCATAAATACGTATCGCTCGGGTTACCTATCCTATTTTCTGCTCGAATCCACTTTCCTTCTTTTTGCGGATTTTGTCCATTATTTTCCTATTTTTTGTTATATACATTTCTCTGCATGATTATATACATATATACAGGGTGACTTCGAAGTTGAGTCATTTATTTTAACAGTGAGTAGATCTGATCAAAAGAAATGTTTTTCCTTTACCATTTTTCTGGTAAAATTAAAGTAACAAAGTTATAGCCCTTTGGAAGTTTGAGTACCGCCCTGTCTCAATAATAATATTATGTGCTCGTGTTTGGCAACAACAGATATAATCCGCCTTATCCGTTCATCGCATCGGAAACAAAAAAGCGAAAGAATTTGGAACGATGTTTTTACAATTATTTTCTTCAGTTGTATACAGTCAGTGTCAGTCGGTAGTCGGTAACGCGTAAGTGAATAGTCGTGTCTGTTGCGTGGCTCAAATCAAAAATGGCACATGTTTACGAAAATGCTGAACTTGTGGACATGGTTCTTATTATTATTTCTTATAGTCTTTACAAAATGCTGCCGCGGCATCACGGATCTATGCGGATCGGTTTCCCAATCGAGTGCAACCAACCCCTCGTGCCTTTGTTAATGTAGTGCAAAGAGCTCGTGAATCAGGTGACTTAAGACCTCACAGAGGAGATCATGCCGGTGCTCCAAGACCGCACGATCAAATAGAAGTAGAAAAACAAATTTTAGAATTAGTAAGTGATGATCCAACAGTAAGCACCCGACAAATTTCAACTCAATTGGCGATTAGTCAATATAAAACTTGGAAAACTCTACGTGAAAATCAGTTCTATCCGTTTCACATAAAAAAGTGCAGGCCTTACAATCGGAAGATCATGAACAAAGGGTTGACTTTTGCAATTGGCTTTTAAATAAACATCAAAATGATGACAATTTTTTAAATCAAATTTTAGTGAGTGATGAAGCCCTCTTTATTAGAAACGGAATTATTAATTCACGTAATTCTCACGTTTGGGCTATTGAAAATCCCCATGAAATAAGGGAAACCAATTTTCAACAGCGATTTGAACCAATCAACCTGTGGGCGGGAATTGTTAATGGAATTTTAGTGGGGCCTTTTGAATTACCAAATCGCTTAACTGGTGAAAATTATCTTGATTTCTTGCAACACAATTTGCCTGGTTTACTGGAAGATGTGCCTTCAAATATTAGACAAAACATGTGGTTTTTACAAGATGGGGCACCACCCCATTATGCAAGAAATGTGCGTGAATTTTTAAATAGACAATTTAATAATCGTTGGATCGGCCGTGGCGGTTTTGTACCTTGGCCGCCAAGGTCTCCGGACTTAAATCCTTTAGACTTTTGTTTGTGGGGTTGGCTAAAAACTCTAGTGTATAAAACACCGGTTAATACACGCGAAGAATTACGTGCTCGAATTGAGGAAATGAGTACA